TAGTGGTCACACACAGTTGCCTTATGTTACACTGCGCTTAAGACGTTAACTTTTCTCAGCATAATCTTTAGAGATTAAAAAACATACTAAACTTTAGTTGTGAGTCCCTGTGACTTATTCCTGAATTATTATTCCCTTAAATAATGATTTTTAGAAATAAAGTAAAAGCTATAACACATTAGATACAAACCTTTTTAAACTCAATATTACGGCACTAATTCATAAAGCATCAGCTGTAGAAATCAGTACAAAATAACAAATCTCCAATTAACGACGTCTACACGTTCAACAAATTATTTTTATTTTGTATATGTTGTACTGCTGAAATGTAATTTGATTTATGTTATTGCAGAAGAAAATAAATTCAACTCAATTTAATTTAATTCAATTATGTTTAAAGGTAGTATCCCAATCTAATTTGGACCCATGGTGTACAAAACATTCAAACTACCTATATCTAATAACCTCCCCCACCCCAAGACTTTCCTAGATGAAATTCATGACTTGTGAGCATTTAAGCCAAGTTTATTTTCCCTTCAAAAGGTGAAATTCCATGACTTCACGTGCGAGTACGTCTTCGATTTTATGTTTTTGTTACATTTTTTCCCCTCCAATATTCATGAGTGTTGACTGCAGTAAGTAGGTTTCGATTGTAACGATTCTCGGTTCTGGAGAATGATTGTGCACGATCAGATATCATTTAGGCAGCTTGGAATGTGAATGATGGATCAATTTTCTTCTGAAATTGCTTTCTGATGGGGACTTGTTAACCCGTTGCATATTATTCGCGTGGGTGTGTTCAATTGTCATTGTGCTTTGATTGATCGGTGCATCTCTGAGCTCAGAGCGACTAGGCAAATCAATCCAGCACTGCACCGTTTACACTGTCACAGTAATTCGTACTGTAATAAACCTGTCTGCTGTGATTTAATGGTATACCGTTGCCAGAATCCTCTTTTTATTGGTAACATCAGATTGTGAATGATATACCTACGGACATTGACTCAATCGTGGTTTGGTCTATTGTGTATATTGGTTATTTATATCCGGAGAAATGTTATGTGCGAAAATGAAAGTTCTTTATACCTTCTTTTTCTCATCTTCTTATTTCTATTTCTTCGACCGCATACGTATGCACTTTCCTCTCTTAATCTCTGTAATATTGAAATTATCTCTTATTCCTTTTCATCTCTTTGATTTCTTTCTCCGTATTCTTCCTACTTTCCTCCGTCATTTTTGTGTGTTATTCCTCCTCTTCATCTTTGTGGTCTTATTTTATTACGTCCTTCATTCCACTGCAGGTAATTCATGTTATTATTATTATCATGTGTATTAGTAGTAGTACTAGTAGTAGAACTAGCAGTATAGTATCATCATCGTCATCACCACCACCACCACCATTATCATCCGTCATCATCATCATCGTCATCATCATCATCATTATCAAAATCACCACCACCATCTCCACCGCCATTATCATCACCACCACCACATCATCATAATCATCATCATCAACATCAACATCATCATTAACATCATCATCAACATCATTATCATCATTACCGTCAGTAGTGTGTATACTATCCAATCTTCCTCATTTCATTATGGGTGACAACTCGTTCTTTATTCTCCTCGAACGAATTTTTATTTAGATCATAATTCAATACTATGAAGATGACGGTAGAACTGTTACCGTCGCAGCTATCATTTCCTCGAAACCTTTTATATTTCACTGGTATTTTTGCTTAATTCACTAGATTACGAATTCACCCTAAAGAAAAATCACTTTGAATTAATCATTTGGGTTGAAGAACTGACACGGAGCGAATTCTTTCTGAAGTGGTGTTTAAATTTGTATTCTATGTTAATTGATGCATTACACAATCTAAGGAAATTCCATTAAACGAATGTACGCTCTGCATGTTTAAAATCCCCATTTGTATCCAACAGTCAAAATTGACGAAGTGATAGATGTTTGCAATTAAAGAATGAGGTAACATTTCATCATTGCACGACGTGACACCTAGATTTAGCCGCAGCAATACCAAAAATAAAATATCGTAGATATGATAAAGGATTTTTTTTTCTTTTTAATTTGCATTTCAAACGAATAGTAATTCCATTGAGTAATTTTGATATCTAAATCTTGGATTCTTGTTAAAATTTACTAATGTGGATCTGAGACTGTTAAACACTAATTCCCTCATTCCCGTATAGGCTTCAATATTATGGAGCTACCTGGTTCAAGGAGCCAATGGACTGGCAAAATTTGTTTGATCATAATTCTGTTCATTTTCTTTTCTCTCCCTTGGACTCTTAAGAATAGTAAATAATTTCTGATCTTTTCCAGTGTTTCCTAAGAAGAAAAATCAGTTACGCAAATTGGCACTTTGCGAATACCTTCAAAATGTTCAAGGGTAATCATAATGAAAGGATAAGTCCGATGGAACATTTTACCCTACAATTGGAAGTTCCAGTTTTGCTAAATTTTGCTTTCCATTTTGTTTAGTTATATAAATAGTTCCTTTCGCAGTAACATCCACGTGATCCCTATACATTCTTCATATAGCTGACGTCACGACCCAGGTGACCCAGACAACGAAGGTGTCAGGTCCATTTATTTATTCATACCGTTATCACAGCCTATTTATCGCGTGGTTCTTGAGGGATTGTCGAGTTATTTCGATTTCTTCAATACGAGTCGTCGGGCAAAATGGTATTAACGTCACACCTGAATTAAACCAGAAAGACTTGAACACAAATTTCTCGCCTATGTTGAATGCTTAGTCTCAGTATACAGCAATAAATGATGCAAGAACGTGTGTTGATTTAGAATTTCATACTCGGTTTAACGCAAGTTATATTCCCATCCCCCGATCATTTGGGATATAGATAGAAATAACTCTTAAGGGTTTTTTTTATCGCTTCTGGCCTTTTCTGGGTCTTGATCTTTAAAAATTCCGGGGTTATCTTTGGGAAGGTATTTATAACTGCCATGACTGCGGTAAATTCCATATCGTTACCTTTTTTTTCTTACCCAAAATTCTTTGTTTTAATGACATTATTATCTGCCAGTCTACATTATAGGAACATGGGAATAAATTAAGCTACAATTTTAATGAATCCTCCTCAAGCAATGACTGTACTCATCTTTCATTCATTCTAAATTTGTTCATGATAGTCGTGGAAATAAATGGAAGGGGGCGGGCTACTGGTCTTGCTATAGGGAATAATTTTATTTTCCATTTTCACGACAAACATTTTGAAGAAAAAATGAAAAGGGGCTTTAATGCATATAAAATCAAATATATAGTTAGCGTAATCTACTTCTTACTTCTCTTTCTCTCTCTCTCTCTCCCCTTCCTTGTTTTCCTTTCTCCTTCTCTCTTTCTCGCACACACACACTCTCTCTCTCTCTCTCTCTCTTTCTCTTTCTCCTCTTCTCCTTCTCCCTCTCTCTATTGCAATTCTTTGTATGCCCTATGCTCCTTACCCTCATCACTTTTTCCTCCAAGTAGTCTTCTTCTTACCCCCCCCCCCCCTCTCTCTCTCTCTTTCCCCTCTTCTCCCTTTCTCTATTGCCATTCTTTATGTGCCCTATATGCTCATTTAATACCCTCCTAGTGATGTGTATGCTCTAATAACCCAACTTGCCAATAAGTGAGAGCGATGTAAACACTACTTTCAACCAAACCACTAGAGAAGAACAAAATTGTGGGTATAATTTTGGAAGGGTGTGGCAGCACATCAACGGAGGTATCCATCAATGTTTTTGTTTCTTCTATACATGCATTCATTTTTCCTATCTTTAACAACGGACAGGTGGTGCATGTTTACCACAATGAGCTAAGCGCTAAATCACTTTAAATCTCAGGTTTAGGTATACACAGAATCGTGAATAATACCCTAGGAAATTTACTGCGTTCAGATTTCATTAACGTCTGGAGGTGATTAATGTGGATCTAGAGATTCAATATTTTGTTCGTCTCACCAGGGCTTGTCTAAGCTTGATATCATTAATGTCCCGATGAAAGGCTTCGGCTTAATGGGGAAAACGTCAGCAAAATCTACTACAAAGACTATTACGTAGATTTACAGCAGTCACGAAGGCAAAGCATAATCCCACCCACGGACAACCCACATCTCACGGAACCCTAACCTCTGCCTTATTTTTGCAAAGAGAACAATCTTTTAATATGGTTCAAAACGAAAATCAATATTTATGTATAGATACATGAGGGCACTTACTATAGATAGTACCCAAACTCCACCACCCACCCACCTACAGCGCAGGTGCACAGAGCATGTACCTCATTCACCCTCCCACGCACACTTACAGCTATCAGTAAGCCCTGTGAAGACCTGGCGAATACTTTAATTCTGCTTGCCGAAGAAGCTAATTCTGTTCGGTTTGGGGAAAAGTGAACATTTCTGAAGATTTGGGATATGCCTTTTGTTCTGTTTACATATCTGTTGGCCTCTGTTACGTGACCCATTTTGTTCAAAGCATTTTTTTCATCTTGTAGTTTTTGCTTCCTTGATAAAAAAACATAGGGTCACGCGGTACGTTTAGTTCATAAGTCGTTAATTTCTTTAATAATGTAAGATACTTTTGGTTGCTTTTTAACAAATGAATCTATAGCGCTAAGAAACATTTCATAACTCATTATCATTATCAATATTACTATTAATATTATCATTACTATTAACCACATTGTGAACAAAGAAATTTTAGAATTTAATCAAAATATTTTAAGTGTGGACCGTGGGCCAAAACAAGTGTTCGTACTAGCCACTCAGAGATACAAAGTATCGATTCCGACAATCTTAATAGTGATTGAATAGAAAATGGGAAACCAAATGTTAACGTTATGAAATGAAAGAATGGAAACTATGTCCAATTCGATATATGAAATTGGCTTTTGGCAACACTAAGGATTAACCAAACTGTTCTCCCCTTTCTCTTCCAATCTCTTTGTGTCTCCTTCTATGCAGTGCAGACCATGCGGTCCAGGCCGGCAGGGACGATGCGTAATGGTGGGTACATGTTGTAGTCCCCTATTCGGCTGCTACCTATTCACACCCGAAGCCGCAGCGTGTATGACAGAAGATGTGTCCCCGTGTCAACTCAATGCGCCTTCCTGTGGCCTTGCAGGAAAGTGTGTAGCCGATGGGATTTGCTGTTCTGCCGCAGAGGGCGCCTGCCACCTTGACCCGACCTGTACGTCGATGTCATTAAATTAATTTTGGACGCATTGGTGTATTTTTCAAATCAATATCATGGTGTACAGTTTTTTCTGACCCTGTAATTTCCTCTAGCTCCGAAAATAATCTTCTTACTCGACCGTTCCATTTACCTTTTTCTTTGGTCGAATTCATTAGGAACGTGCGCTTACAAAATGTTGTGTAATTGTACTATCAACTCCTGGTTGTTATGAGCATTTATTCGCTATTGAGATTGTTGTATTTCCGTACTCAAACTTGAATCCAACGCGCTGATAAGTATGATTGTACAGCTTATACAACAACAAAATTATTGTCTGAGTCAGTACTGATTTTATCATTGTATCTAAGTGTGTCACGTAACTATGACCGTCAATGTGCATTTTTAGGTACTGGTGTGTTTTTGATCATGGCTGTATTAATTTTTGTGTCGAGTCTGAGATCATATCTGAAAAGAAAATCCCAGCTGCCATTCAATTTGACAGAAAAAAGGGTCATATAAAGAGTTAGTATTCTTCGCTAATTGCACTGTCAGGAGGGAAATTAGGATAACCTTCCATCTGTTATTTGTAGTGAGAAAGTTAATCTGATTTTAAAAAACTTCAATAGGCAAACTTGAAGGCGGTAAAAAAAAAACCGATGTAGCATTCAATGTCAATGGGATCATTTTGAATTTCCACGAACAGACAAAACTATATATGTCACTTTTATATTCAAAATTCTCTTTATCATGTTAACACAAATTTGCCAGTTATGAAACGGTTATACGAAACCAAAAAAATGAGATATATTGAAATATTATCTCGAATGTACAGTTTAAACGTGTACGGCTTCATGCGAACTGATATCAGACTATGACTATAAACTTTCCACTTGAAAAAATAAGAAAGTCGTGAAATGTCAATCTTATTGTTTTATGCTATGAATTATTATATTTTAATCTGTGTATGTTGCGTGTAAATATTGAAATTTCTGTCATTCGTGGAAGCAGTCATGAAGAAGAAAAAATAAATCGTAGTTTTTCAAAGAAAATAAATGATTAGCCTAACAAAATGTAATCAGTATTTCTTAACTTGCCTCTCAGCTGGGAGAATAAGAACGAAGATGAAAATATTATTTCGATAGTACATTACATTATGTGTTCTTAAAACGATATTTTACTCATATTTGTTTTCTTTCTTTATCATATTGTCATCAATATGATTGTTGTAAGATATTCAAATGAAATTTCAACAAGGAAAAGAAATATAAGTGACTCTCAAAATAATAATTAGGCTCTTTGTCATTCAAAGTTTGTATCGATACTGCGAAATGCATGATACATAGAAATCTATTTATTATCATTATCATTATTATAAGAATAATTATTTTTCTCTTCATGTTAATGCGAATGTCTTTTTGTATTGATTCGCTTTATTTTGTGAAATACTTGCAATACACTGTTATGAACTTAATCTTATTATCACGTGTATGTGTGTTTTTTGTCAGATTTCATCATAAAGTATTCACGCATACAAAAAAAAAAGCTGAATTAGAAAGAAAATACACTATCAAAGAGAGAATACAATGACTCGCGTTTATTTTCTGTAAATGAAATCGGATAGATGATTAAGTGTTGTACTGTACTGAACTATGATAACGATAATGATCAAAATAATTAGCGTGGTTTCTTTTGATTTTGCTCTGTTTAACAAACTTTCCTCCGTAGAAGAGAATTTATCTGAATCATGATATCATCCTCGACATAAACCTATTAAAAGGTGCTGAAAGATGGCACAGTCACTTCTTTACATCTAAAGTTTCTTGCTTTTTTTCTTCACCCTTCTCTTCGAGTAAATTCAAGAAACGAAGTGTTGGATACGAGATGCATGTCCCTGGTACCCCCCCCCCCCCCCCTTTTCCTCTTTCATCAAAAGAATCTGCCATACTTTTCAAGACACCTTTGTACTAAAGTGTATACTAGATTATCTTGTCTGCCAGTTACTTAGAAATGTTCATAGTGGCGGCCAGGGAAAAACCAAAGTGCGCCAAAAGTCATTTTTGGTGATGTATTTTATTTAATTTTTCTTGCCCAGTTGAAAGATAATACATTGAAGAATGCTTCAGTAAAATATGTAATTCCGGTATTCACAATAAGGGTATAAATTTACTCCTTCAAACAGCAAAATCCTACATATTCACAGTTTTAGTGCAAAAGTGACTTATTTTATAAATCTTTCAATTTAACATGAAGTTTTTAGGTTATTGATATGAAATTGCTGTCACATATTTCTGGTACATGTAATTCATTTCACTGCATGAATGGGTTAAAAATGGATAGAAACACAATCTCAATAATTATTATAGGATAATTCATTGAAAAATGGACTAATTGTCCATGTTTTATTAAAATAAATCCAGAGGAAATGTTTAGATTTCCAGGGATTTCCACTTTCATGTATTACCACAATTTTCTCTGATATCTAAACTTTAAGTTGATATCAGATTTGGCTGCCATCTTCTGCCTATTATTATGTTAGAGCCGATTTTCCTGGCCAGATTGCCCCGGAAAATGTGTTTATTTAGGTCCGCGGCTGCAGGATTCGCGGTCATAAATTACGGCGCGTGGGGGCGCGTGACAGACACCGCGGACCAAAATAAACACATTTTTTTTCGGGGCAATGTGGCAAGGAAAATCGGTAAAATCAATAACTTAAAAAATTCAAGTTATATTGAAAGATTCATAAAATTTTTCACTTTTGCACTAAAACTGTGGATATGTGTAAGATTTTGCTGTTTGAAGGAGTAAATAATAATAATAATATTTAATTTTTATATAGCGCTTAATACAAATGTCTCTAAGCGCTTTACACATATACTATTACCCTTATTGTGCATACCGGAATTAGATATTTTACTAAGGTATTCTTCAATGTATTATCTTTCAACTGGGCAAGAAAAATTAAATAAAGTAATTTTTTTTTAAAGAGACTTTTGGCGCACTTTGGTTCCTCCCTGGCCCACTGTTGACATGCGCTCACCCTGCTATTCTCGCTACAGAATATAAAATAATTATGTAAGAACATAATAAAAACCGGGATCTTGAAAATGTTGGGCATTATGTCCAAGTTACGTGTTCCACTACAAAGAGAAACGGAGAGACAAGACAGAGAGAAGGTCATGAGAATGAGAACAATATTATCAAGCGAAGAGAGAAGGCGAGAGAGAAAGAGAGATACAGAGAGAGAGAGAGAGAGAGAGAGAGAGGAGATGATGACGTGTGTAAAGATACTGTCATATCGGGAATTTTAAAGAAAGAGATCATAGAATGGGGACAGGAAACTGAGTAAGCAAAGAAAGATAAATACATTTGAAAAAAAATGAAGTGCTAAAAAACAGGTGTGCTGTGCAAAGAGTTGAACTTGGCGTGCTAAAGTTAGCTCCTGAAGTGCCATTTCTGACAAAAGATTTTGTGATTCAGAAGAAATGGACGCATGCTAATGAGCCAATTAATAAGCGCCTGAAGGGCTAATCCAATTTTGCATATCATTTCCATATTTTTCAAAGCTTTTGTCTACTTCAAATAAATCTAATGATCATTAAAATATTGTCTCAGTCAAGGTCTCAAACAAAGAGAATATTTATTCAAAAATTGATCAATGAGTTTGTCATTGCTGTTAATAATACCTCTACTGATTAACTAACCATCTTCAATCATGATGAATAAGTATTATTGTAAATACATCATTATGAATCTCATGTGATGTGCTGTTAATAGCCCCTTTGTCTGTTCTTCAGCACCCTTAGTGCTACTTTCGATGTGCATTGCCAGATAGCACCTCACTGCATGGTGCTAAAGCAGCACTGCAAGTGCAGTCATTGAATAAGAGCATCCAACAGAGTGTCATTATAATTATAGCCCTCCAAGTGCTAAAACCAGCACTTTAGTTGTTAAGAGTGTATTAACAGAAAAGACAGACAGGGACGGGAGGGAATGTGGTTAGAGATCGACATCGAGAGAGAGAGAGAGAGAGAGAGAGAGAGAGAGAGAGAGGGGGGAGAGAGAGAGAAAGAGAGAGAGTAACCGCGTTTAAGGAAAAGTGAGTGTTTTCTTCCTCCGTTTCAATCAACTTCTGAAATATTGATAACAGTTGATTTTTTTCCAGACCTGATAGCAAACAATAAATTGCTCAATATTTTCTCTTACTTTTTAATTCTCCGAAGATTTTGTCACGAGAAATTTTGAATACGTTGTTACTCGACATAATTCCCCTTATACTCACATGAACGGCCAATAATAATGAATAGACAAATAGAAGAAGATAAGGTATTGGAACAGTTTACTTAAAATGATAATTTTCTAATTTTCTAATAAAAAAAGAAACGATTTAATGCGAATACTATTAATGTAATTAATGTTAAATGTTAACATTTCAAAATGACCATTATCATTATCGACCAAAAAGTATAAACGAAAAACACGATCGCAACTATTTTCCAAAGATCAACTCCAGAGCAATTTCAGTTCCCTATTTTACATTCCTTAGAAATTATGTTGGGATTACATAATACCTCTTTCTTTTTGTTTACAGTTCGATCATATTCACAGCAAAATATGAATAGATTATAAGGCGATGTCGTGGCTTTGATGACGTTATTATTTTGATGATGGCGTACGGGGAAGAGGGTAACGACGATGGTGATAACGGTGTTGTTGTTGATATTGATGATGATGATAATGTGTTGATGGTGGTGTCGGTGCTGGTGGTGGTGGTGGCGGTGGTGGTGGTGGATGGTGGTGGTGGTGGTGGTGGTGGTGGTGAAGGTGGTGGTGGTGGTGGTCTAGAGGTGGTTTTGGTGATGTTGATGGTAATTGTAGAGGTAGTTGTCTTTTTGTTATAAATAACCATTCATTTATAATTACAGGGTTTTCTATATTTCTATATCTAAAATTTATTGATAAGACAACCTTTATAATTATCTGCATCCACAATTATCACAAGAGTTCACGTAGGTTTAGCTGGTTCCATTGAAAATGATAAAGCTAAATTTGTAATTAATAAATAATGTCGTCACAGCTTACTGAAGAGCCGACAATCAATGTACCAGCAATATTAGTGCGGAGAAAACTGCGTATGAAGATATCAAGATGACATCGCTCCAAAGATCCAAATTTCTCTGAGAAAATGTTTGGAGACCGTCGACAGAGGGCAGTGTGAAAAAAAGTGGAACGAGGAACCTTTCGTAAAATAATTTCAGTAAACTCCCCCCTCCCCCCTCATCAATTAATAACTGAGTATATTATCGCTGACATGCAGGACTTAAAATGTCATTTTTTAGGAGCCCATTTGCCTGGAGCTTCCTTATTTACTAATCGGTACTCTTAATTACAAGCTTAGCATTATTAGGGGCAGATCTGGGATTGTAAGAAGGGGGCCGGGGAGGGGGGGGGGGGCTTTCCTGGCCGATTTGTCAAGCTGAACTCCTGCCCCCCCCCCCCGGGCCCTACAAGAATGAAACCGAGGCATATTTTTTTAGACCTGAAATGGCATTAATGGTTCATTGGTTCTTAGGACTATGTAATCTGCTGAGACATCGGATACTAAAAAAAATATATAATGTGCCCCCCCCCCCTCATGAGCTCTATATAGAGAGACTAGAGAAAGAGAGTGAGAGAGCGCCAAAGAGAAAGCGCATCTGAAAGAGCCGAGGGAGATAGAGAGAGAGAGATAGAGAGAGAGAGAGAGAAAAAAAAAGGCATGTTCCATTGAAAATGATAAAGCAAATGTTTTAATCAAACAAATTATCATTCGTCATTTATATTTCTTCCCCGGCCGAGTTTTCAAGCTTAACCCCCCCCCCCCCCCCCCCCCCCCACCAATGAAACTGAAACTGAGGCATATATCTCTAACCCTAAAATGGCACTAATGGTTCGGACTATATCTGTAAGGACATCCGATTTATTAAAAAAAAATGTATTGTAAATGTGCCCCCCCCCCTCCTCCACGGCCCCACCCCCCCCCCCCCCCCCCCGCTGAGCTCTATAGGGTGCAACTTTCCTCCTATTGAGAGACTACAGAGAAAGAGACACAGCAAAAGAAAAAGAGCATCTGAAAGAGCCGAGAGAGAGAGAAATCTGTCGCCTCGGCCCCTCCGCCCCCCCCCCCCCCCCCCAATCCATGGTGGGATTTCCCCATGGGGAAAAACACATAATAAAGCATGACGCAAGTTTGAAACAGTACAGCTCCTTTAGTTTGCAAGATCGGGAAATTAGAGATTAAGATTAAGATTAAGAAGGTGACTCCTCCTGATAGAGCCTACAGGTACATTTCCCCCCAGAACAGAAGGTGCACAATTTTAATCTGTATTCCTTCTCCCTAATACAATGCATTAAAAGTATGAGTTCTGGGAACTTTTGAAAATTGGGTGGATGGTGATTCTTTACAATTTTGATATATTTGGATGCCCATGTGGATGTATTATAAGCACTAGAAAATTTAGCCCCTAAAACACTTCTGCTTTCGAGACAAATTGAATATAAAAATTTACCGGTGCTCCCGGTAAATTTTGATAATTTTTTTAAATAGCGCCTATACGGCCGTACAATGGTAGCTGCGACCATGAAAATCTCAGAATATGTAGTTGTGATATATAATTCCCAACCGGGAATAGCTAATCGGTCGATTTTAGTCAAGAAATATTGTTTTATAGCTAAATTAATATCTTGAACTTGAGAGGGAGCTATACAACATAAAGAGATTAATATCTAACATTTCATAACTTTGGTCTCGTTTTCAACCGCGACAACAATCACTGAATATAATTATGCTTCCCATGTGTTCATTTGAACCAAATGCATGACCCCATACCAAAACTTACCTTTAACAAATAAATTTAAAAACAATGAAGGGGGAGGGGGGTGACATACATTGAGACATACATACACCTACATCCCGACAATGAACTACCAATAGAGCTATTATCATTTCTAATAGAGGCTATCTAGAGCAAGTGCTTTTTTGCTCTTCATGAGGTGAAACGACATATAGACTAGAGTCCAGGATTGCATCATCATCATCATCAAGGTGAACTTTGCCGTCAGAATTTAAATTTATCAGATATAAGTACAGAACTACCGGTGTTAATGAAAGAAAAAAAAATTAGGATTTTAAAATAGAAATTCTAATTGAGAACAGAAATCCAATCTTTCCCGCAAACTTTTTTGTTTCAGCTACCCCACTTTGTTGTCAGGCCTTTGTTTTGTCACATGACCCAGCTAGCAAGCACTACACTCGCTTGTGTTTTCGTTCAAATGCTTCGGCGGCAATTCACTTCCGTGTGCAGAGCGCTGTGAATACAACAAAAAGAGATCTAATTTATTGATTTTTTTCAGGGTAGTAGATTGTGGAGCTTGTGAAAGAACTGTATCACTGGTGCTGTTGTACAACGAAGGCATGAATTTGGTTTTCTTGCTAGTAATTCTGTTCTTTTAGACAGTTTTAGAGTCAAGACAAGGCCGTGTTCGTGCTGTTTTACTCGACAAAGACATGCATGCAGTGACTGAATGAATGAAGCCGGCAAAATTGATCAGTCCCAATCGTTCACAAGCAGGTCAGTTTGTGTGGTAAGTTGAAACTTGAGAGGATGTGGTATTGTTTTTGCTGGATAGTGGATCTTGGCCAAGTTTTAATTTGTAGATATCTATCTTGGTATGGTATGGTATTTATTGAAACATGCATCGCAGTTACATATACTGAATTGCACATGGATATACATTGCATTTTAAAAACGAGAGTACAATTAAAAACAGTATCATTTACATAATTATAAGTACACGTATTATCATATGTCACATAAAGAAAAGAGGTTAAAAAGGGAAAGGGAGAGAGAGAGAGAGAGAGAGAGGAGAGAGGGAGAGGAGGAGAGAGGGAAGGAAAGTAAGAGAAATAGAAAGAAAGGATAAGAGAGCGAGAGATATAGTGAAGAAAGAGAAAGAGCAGGAAAGATAGAAAGATGGAGAAAGAGAGAAAAAGAGAGAGAGAGAGAGAGGTGAAGGAGAGAGAGAGAGAGAGAGAAAGAGGAAGAGAAAGAGAGAGAGAGAGAGAGAGAGAGAGAGAGGCAAGAGGTAAAGAAGGGGGAGGAGAGAAGGGGGAACTTGCCAACAATTAAAAATTACATACAAATTGACGATAAAAAGATAAAAGTATGCATTGCAACATTGACATTACGAATAGTATTAATAAGAAGAACAAAAATCTGACTGACATGAGCGCTATCCAAGAACCCACTATTATTATTATTATTTTAGCTCACCTAAAAATCTTTTGGTAAGTTGTAAAATGTATAAATGAGAATGTTTTCTTTTTTAACGCAGATGGTAGTAAAAACATTTTAAAAAGGATAATAACAACCTTTTTAAGAAAATATTTATATATAACAACTAAATACAGGCGGATATAGCACAGAAGCAAGATTCAAAAGGAGTAATTGCAGACCTGCGTAAACTAATAGTGTTAAGATAAAATAACGGGCAACCAGAGGCAATTTAAAGTAATACATGTAATTATGAAATCGACAGTATACAATGCGAAGAGTAAAGATAATTAACTGATAAATTGAGGTAAAGCGTATTGCAAATATTTACATTATGTTTCTACATTTAGCAATAATATAATTGTTCAATCCAAGATATTTAATTGAATCTGAAATATAATGCATTAAGATTCGGCGAATTGTAGATGTGTTCAGGCAAAGATTGCAATTTGAGAATGAATTATAATAAGCAAATTGTGATTTAAAAGAGGCTTTAGATAACTGGCAATAATTCATATAAAGAAAAAAAAACATGGGAAAGAAATGAGGTTACTAAAGATGACCGTATTTGTATCTTGATACAGAAATTGAAGTTATATTGACAAAAATACATGTAATTCACAAAGTTTGGCAGTATTATGCTATCAAAAAAAATTGAACAGACCGGATGCCACATCATGGCTGGTTTAAAAGCCTTACTAGATAGGGTAAAGCACTTTTTCTGTAGCGTTCTGTCCTACACTTGATTTCACGTAGCCTATTACTATGTCTCAATTGTCTTCGAGAACACTGGCTTTCAGGTAACCACTCACGAAAGTTACAGTAGAGGGACCTAGCGAAGTTTAGACAGAGCTCTTCTCTTCTGTCTCTCAGAGACGACAGATTACACACTGTGAGAGCCTGACGGTAGGATTCATATCTTAGTCCTAATATTGTCCGCAGGGCACGCTTCTGGATTGACTCTATTTGAGCTTCCTGGTTTAGAGTTAGTGAGGAATGCCATACTACACAACAGTATTCTAGCACCGGTCTTATGTAGGACGTAAAAACTGTGATCAAATCTTGAAGTGGCATAGAGAAACGTTTGAGCATCCGTAGCAGATAGAGTTTCTTGGCTGCTTTTGATGTAATGCAGTTGACGTGTTCCAACCACCGAAGATCACTGCTAAGAACGACGCCAAGCAATTTCACGTGTTGCTTGTCCGGGATTTGATTTTCGCCGATCATAACTTCCGCTGGTGGGAGCTGTCGACGAGCAAATGATACCCTCATGAGTTGGCATTTGGATGGGTTTAGACGCATATTCGAGTCCTTACACCATTCTTCAAATACAGACAATGTAGCATTAAGACAACTTGGTGAATTTGATCGGCGTGTTTCTGCAACAGTAAGGTCATCTACATACTTCCATCTAGAGCAGTCAGATGACTGGAGGGCATCGTTGACAGTGGCTAAGAAAACCAGAGGTCCAAGTCGCGTCCCTTGAGGAACACCGACTGAAGTGGCGAGTGTTGTTGAAAGTTGGTCTTTGTACCGCACTTGCTGAGTTCGCTCACCAAGGAAGCTGCATAACCAAGGAAGTAAGGATGGCCGTGCACCCATTGTGTAGATTTTTGTGATTGCTACGTTATGGTTTACTAAGTCGAAGGCTTTGGAAAAATCCGTAAGCACCACACTCGTAATTGATCCAGATTTGTCAGCATTCGAATGGAGGTATTCCAGCAGGCTTAAAAGGTAATGGCTCGTTGACCAACCAGGACGATTGCCGAACTGCTGAGGATCGATTTCGTGAGATATGTCATTCAAGATCATTTTAGATGCAAACAGTTCCAACAACTTCACGAAGAAGTCAGTCAGGGCGACAGGGCGCAACTTCTGTAACGTCGCAGGAGTTTCTTTGGGAACAGGAACAATGATGGACCTCTTCCAATGACTTGGAACCCTGCTTTGTTGAAACGACGCATTAAAGATGTCGCAGAGAGGTGAGCTGAGTTCCACTGCGAATTCCCGAATCAACCGTGGTGAGATTCCGTCCGGTCCACCACTTTTTCCAACTGGGGTTTTGGACAGTTCTCTGTAAACTGTCCAGGGTTGTATGGTTGGCAAAGTGTCCAGCTGAATCGGTCTGAACGCAGGAATTTCGCTCAAATCAAGGGATGGGGTGTCCTTTCCGATGCTTACGAAGTACGAGTTTATGGCATTTGCTATTGCCAACTTGTCCGAAGTATTGATATCTGGCAAGGAAATAGACGTGTCTTGTTGCCTATTCGAAGTCATCAGTTTGATATATTTATACCATGATGCGGGGTTTTCGCGTTTCAGATGTTGGACGCGGTCCTTATAAAACACTCTTTTCACATGAGTGATCGCTTGCTGCACTTTGTTTCGAAGACTACGCCAATTCGGGGAGCCTGAGTGGAAGGCCCTTTGTCGTTGATGTATTAGGTCTTTGACCTTGGTTGTCATCCAAGGCTTATCCATCATATGCAGCTTTACGGACTTGGTTGGGAAGTGAGTGTTGATTGCCGCGTTCAAATCATTATAGAACACCTCACATTTGCGTTCTACATCCGTTTCTTGATAAACATTTATCCAATCGTGGTGTGTTATCCAACTGCCGAATTCGCGCACATCCGATTGACGCATCGGTCTGACAGTTTTCTGTCTGACTTCATTTCTCCTGGATGATTGCTGTTTTGGCCTCCATATGACTCCATTATGGTCGCTCATTCCAATTGGGGCAACAATTTGTATGACAGAGTACAAACTCTTCATATTGGTAATGATCAAGTCCAGCATAGAAAGGTTACGCGTTGGACGATTTACTACCTGCTTCAGGCTGTGTCCAGCAAGGAGGGGAGATACATCAGCTCGATTAAAATCACCAGAGATGATGATTCCTGCCAAAGGGTGTCTCAGAAGAATATGATCAACAGCCCGTGTAAGGTAATGAATAAGGCTATCCACATGAGCATTGATTGGGGGTGAGTACACTGATGCCACAAATATTGAAGAGACGTTCCTAGGTAACCGTGTTGGTCGGATGTGCGTCCAAACAACCTCATGTTCTTCCGGAACGTCTATGTGGGTTTCAGTGGGGTTCATAGTAGATTTCACATAGATGGCGACTCCTCCACCTCGTTGGGAAACTCGGCTCTTGTGCAGTAAGTTGTAGTTTGGAATGCTGAACGCGGTCTCTGGAACACTATCTTGGAACCAGGTCTCACTCACACAAACAATGTCCATGTCATAATTTTGAACAACAAAAGTGAATTCGTCGAACTTATTATTCAATGATCTTGCGTTAAGCATGTACATAGAAGGTAGAGATGGTGATTGATTAGGCAGGGTCTCAATGTGCCTCAATGTTCTTGTCCTGGTCACGATGGGCTTTTCGTCTTGATTTAGGTGGCGAGAATAACAATCAACAACTTTTATTCGTCGCCGGATCTTTTTTCCTGCCCGACATCCTCTTTTACGAGCAATTCCAAGTTCATGTATAGTTTCAAACGCATCTCGAGGTATACGACTTTTCGGTTGAGAGCGTAACCTGAAAAGTTCATTACTCGTATAACGAATCACTCTGTCCTGTCCGTCGACCGACGGGTGGCTTTTGTCCAGGGGATGGCTATTGTCTGGAGCCATTCCATTGTCAGACAGCACAATGCTTGCTGAAAGTAACAAAAGCAGGGTTACAACCCTGTACGTCCAGCTATCATGGCCAGTAAATCGCCGATGGTATAACATGTCACTGCACGGTTCAATTTGGTATATATTGACATATAGAGTCAGAAGTAAGATGTATCAATTAGTATCAAATATAAAACTTAAGACACACATAAAGTTACCCAGACGAATCCACACAGTCCAATGAACACAAAATTCCAATCAAGTATCCACAGTTCAGTTCCAAAAGTAAGATTTAAGAAGAAAAACTGCATGTAAAAGTTCAGTAATAAGAAGTTGATGCTTGCTGCTAAACAGCGCCCTCAAGGGCGCTGTTTAGTAATGTTAGAACTTAGTCTAGACTCTAGATACAATTGAGCATTCATTTTCAAGACCAGATCTGAAGTGATGAGGTCTAGAATCTAGATCTAGACTCTAGACTATTATTTTTATTTTTTTTCAATTTGATTTTGATTGATTTTTCTTCAACTATTTTCAACACCTCATCTCTCAATTTTCAAAATTTACCTATCGAATTTTAACAAGTTTCTTTTAATTTCTATTTCTGAGAATCGTGAGAGTTTCACTCTGAATTTGAATGAGCGTTGCGAACTTGCGATATGGTCCAACGCCAAGTTCTCACTCAACAAGTTAGTCAAGGTTCCGGTTGTGAGACTGAAATTTGTTTCAATTTACACAAATACACAATTAGTCTAGACTAGATGAGATGAATGATTTAATACCTTGCTTTAGTTAACTCTTTAGATCTAGACCTCATTGAATTTGTCTCATGAATTGAGCAGAAAATTAAGACGTTTTTTTAGTCATCATCTTTTTGTTATGTTGTTAGATTTATTTGTGGTGGATTGCTTTTTTCAGCCAATTCAGGCCTCAGGATAGACAACTTACAAGTCTATTGAAATGGTCTATTTGACTTTTCTAGTCAGGTTAGAATCTGAACAAGTTGTCAATTTGAAAAAAGTTTGCAATGTCCTTCATTTCATTTTGTTCTTTGTCCATGTTTCAGGGAATCATTAGTTTGACAGTGTGCATCCTGCATTCTTCTAATTTCTAAATGTGTTAAAACCGTCTCTTTTTAATCAGCAATAATCTGTTCTGCCGCTTATGTTTATTGGTCAGGCAGGTTCAAGTTGTTTTTGTGGGATAGACACAGACTGAATTAGTCGTCTCTTTATTGAAATAGACTGGCGAAAGGTGTAGTGAGTGTTGTCGGTTTGGGGTCCACACTCCATAGAGCTTATGATCAGCTGAAGTAATGATCTGGTTTCTAGAGATTTCTTAGACTACCCGGTATACATGTAGCTAGTCTTCCCCATTGCCCTAGAACAGCTACAGGGATGAATGTCATTGGTACTGAGAAGTTAATCTTTGGTAGGAAGAGCATACTTAGTATGAAGGCTCTTGACGTGAGGGTTTTAGCTGACTCAGACTGTTGGCACATCATGTACACGTACTCGATCCTGCTTGGCAGAGGATATGGATAAATTAATTTGCAGTTATTCAAGGAAGTCCTAAAAGTGCTTTAAAGGGGGTGAATTAAGCCATGTGTAGGTGATCTAGTGCTGCCTTTGTTAGGTGTAAAACTTCGAATCCATAGAGCATCCTTGACATTTCCCATAGCATAGAGAAGCCATGACTGTGGGGGTGAGACCCATACAGAATGCCCTTCTTGTCACTGCATAGAGCGTCTTGTTGACTGTCGAGATCATTTTAACCTGCATGGTGTCATGGTTACACCGAGGTGCGGATGGTTGTCTTGTCTACATGTACTTGCGGTATTGTGTTAGGGTCAGAGCGTCTTGGTGCTTGGTTGGGTAATCCCTTTGGCAGCTAGTTGTGATGTCTGTAGTTTAGCTGCTAGTACCAGCAATATGCATGCCTGATAATTTCCAGATTTAAATCGGTTTCCTGATTTATTTATTTTTTTCCTGATTTTTTCTTTATTTTTCCCAATTTTCTCACTCAAAAGGGGGGAGGAACATTGTTAGATGCCATTTTTTTTAGTCAAGCGGGAGTGGGGATGGTTGATAAATGATTTGTTGACCCCTGACTATGAGGAATTTTTTGTGACTTGTCTGAGGGGATATAAAATGCATCATGTAGTTTACAATGTACAATTTTGTTCAGCATGCACTGTATATATTTGTTAACATTGCAATTTCTGTCAGACAAAATGTGATGCTCATAATATTACTAAACATTCATGAGAATGTTCCTCACCTGTAGTTTATCTTTTTATCCTTTAAAATCCATTCTCTTTAGAAACTGGGAAGGTGTTGCTTTAAAAAAAATCTAAAGCATCAATTTCCTAAGTCAAGAGACAAACAAATATCCTGAGCCTTCTCAGCACATCATCATCAGACCGAGACGGCTTCAAGCAAGAGACAACATCCCTGATTCAAGCTGGATCATATGGACGAGCTTGACATCATGGAACGTAACAAGAAGAAGCTTACGTTACCACTGAGCAACGATTGTGTATTCTCACCATGCTTCTCTCAGACGCAGGCCAGTCCAGTCACAGCATTATCAATGTCAATGGTGACACTCTCTTGGTAAGAAACCGATTAGGAAAGACTTCCTTTTGCGACAGCCACCTAAAATCTAACCCTGACCCAAATTTTAACCCTATATTTTACCCTAACCCTATTTTATATATCATATTATCATTAGAATATATATTATTCCTGGGGGGTGTTTCACAAAGATCCTAAGTAGAACTTAACACTAAGTTGAACTTAAAAATTATGGACAGCCATTGGAGCCTTAAAATGAAATATATTCAACAGCAGAAATTCAAGTATTTTAAACTTTTTATAAATTCCACATCAAGAACATAGAATCTCCCATGATAATAGAAAATATGAATGATTTGAATCAACATTTTATGTCTTTTAAAATAACTTTTACAAAATGTTTTCAAGGATGCTAATGGCTTTCCATAATTTTTAAGTCGAACTTAGAGATAAGTTCAACTTAGGATCTTTGTGAAACACCCCCCTGGTCTATTACTATTAGCTGTGACCATATTTTTTTCTTCACTTTGGGTGGCTGTCGCAAAAGTCTTCCCACTGATTGCAATACCTGAATTTTGGTGAATAAGCCTGTCTATAGATTAGATACAATCTTCACATGAGAATTCAAAAAGTCAACTGTCCAAAATTTGTAAAACCCACAGAAATAATACTCATTCAGAGCTCAGGAAAGTTACATAATCAGTGTTCATTTCATTTATGCTTTTTTTGCACCAAATTTGAATATCGCAGTTTCTTGAATATTTTCAACAACATTATATGTAATGTGGAGAATATTGTAACTTATTGGAATATTTCAGTTGGAGCTCTTTTCAAATTCATTACGAGGAGAGAGAATACTTTGGGGGCTTTGTTGAGGGGAGGGTGCCACAAAACCATAGCACAGCCAGTCTAATGTAATTTGGCATCAGCCAACTTGGCCCGAAATAACAAAGGAGGTTTGTCGACAAACCTTGGTTTTCGTGCTCCATGTGACGCGTTTTGACGTGTTTTGACAAACCAGGTTTGTAAAAAATGCGTCAAAACGCATCATATGACGTACATAAACCTCGGTTTGTTGAAAAACCTCCTTTTTAAAATCGGGCCCTTGTGTTCTGAGTGATGCTGTATAGAATCCAAATTTAAGACTTAGACTAAGATTATTTTCTTTTCTCTTTCAGCATGGGTGGCACCCCTAAGAGGAGACTATCCATGTCAAGTATAGGGGAAGCTTCTCCTGTCCCACCAAACTTATCCAGGCATTCCTCACATAGCTCAGGTAAGTCATATCAAAACATAAACAGAGCTGCCAATTAGTATGGATTTCCCGTAATTGGTACGGAAATCAACGATCATTACGGAATTACGGAATGTTGTCTAAAATTACGGGGGGGTTGTTTTTGTTGTTGCGTAAATATGATTTATCATAGCGAGTGCTGTGCAGTATGGCGGTATTCTCTTAATAGAAGCCCATTTTTCATGGAAAACTCATGTGTTGTCATGACCTGATAATCAATATTTAGCAACTTTGTGTGAGTAAAATCACCAAAATTTCAAACAATCTTTGTGTGCATGCTTTCCGCAGAGTTGGCCTACCGTTATTTTATAGAATTGTAGCGCTGCTTAGGAAATTACTGATTTTGAGCCTTGTGATTACTGATTTTCTGTTTTGGAGGTTGGCAGCTCTGATGTAAGCTCATCAAATCATTTTAAAAAACCACTTTTGCAAAGGAGGCGCGATAGCTCAATTGGTAGAGAAGTGTCTAGTAATCCGGCGATGGGATTCGAAACCAAGTCGATGCACTAGTGCCCTTTGGTAAGGCATTAATCCTCATTACCAGGTCGCTCGGAGAGGACCTAAAGCAGTCGGTCCTCTGGTTGCTTACTAAGAAGCCTTTAAGCTTACTTAGCAGTCAGGTAAAATAACCACCACTAAATCAAAGTGGTCATAACCTAGAGGTGATCTTTTTAATGAGTATCACATCACAGGGAACTGTGTGGTGTGGCCTTTGGTAATCAATTCCTGCCATAATCAACTTTCAATTTTTAAAACATATAATAATAATAATAATAATAATAATTGTCCACTCCAAATTTTATTAAACCGAAACGGAAATTCTTTTTGCCCAATTGATCGTGAGCCCGGCAGCCACTGAGCAGCATATTGAATTTTTTTTTTTTTAACTTACAATTTTTAGTTGTACACTCAGTGCTGTTGCCACATTTATGGATTTAATTCACTTCATTTTTTTTTTACTTTCAGGTGTCAGTGTTGGTACTCCAAGCCCCTGTGAATCTCCTCTTATACTGGGCACGTAAGTAGAGTGAGACTTTATATTTTCTACACCGACTCCATCTCTACCTTTCCCTTTTAATTCAGACTAACAGAATTGTAATCAATTTATTTATTTATTGAAAATTTGCAAAAGTTCATTTGAGAAAAAAGTTGTCAGATTAATTGTTGTCAGATTAAGTGATTGCCATTGTTGTCTAGGTATATACAAAGCAATTTTGAAAGATGGTCTCCAGTTCTGAGTTCTGACTGTGTACATTCAATTCAATTCAATTATTCATATTTATTTTATTTCCAACAGAAAGATAAACAAAGGTATTACAGTCACAGATACTATTACAGAAAGTATGAAGAAAATGTATGTACATGAACATATTCATTTTTTCTTGGTAACTATGCAAATACACTTTACACATATTACAATTATTATTAAATTCTAATGTTCCACTCTCCAAAGTTGTTACACTTTTACTTTATTTATTCTTTTTTCCCTTCAATTATAAACTATTGTCTTCTTATTTTTCTATTCTCCATAGATTCCAACCAATCAACCCATCCAATGACCAGCCTGAGTCAAGCAGGTAGGAATTCCGAGTTATGCAAATCTCAATTTGTGATAGTATTTATGAATGTTCAAAAATTATAGAGCTGACTCAAAAGTTCTTGTGCGAACGTTCAAGACTTCTGAAAAGGTCTTTGATTGTGATTTGTGAACTTTTCTTATATCAAAATAATGATGGCTTCTCTGAAAGCATCAGTAGAGGTGTTGTGGTCGAGTGGATACGTCGTCAGGCTGTCGATTACAAGGTACGTGGTTCGAGTTCCGCTACCGCACTAATGTCCTTTGCAGGTCCTTTGGCAAGACATTGATCTACATTTGCCACACTACACCCAGGTGACGTAAATGGGTACCTGGTAGGAATTTATTCCTTGAAATGCTAGAGCGCCGTTTGGCAGCCGTACTAAAGCCAGGGTAATATTCGGGAGCGCCAGGAGGGTCAAATCTGACTGACATGAGCACTATACAAGAGCCCATTATTATTATTAGTATTAGTAGTAGTAGTAGTAGTAGTAGTAGTAGTAGTAGTAGTAGTAGTAGTAGTAGTAGTAGTAGTAGTTTAGTGTTAGTAGTAGTAGTAGTAGTAGTAGTAGTAGTAGTAGTAGTAGTAGTAGTAGTATTGGTATTAGTATTAGTATTAGTATTAGTATTAGTGTTAGTGTTAGTGTTAGTGTTAGTGTTAGTGTTATTATTATTATTATTATTATTATTACCTTAGCTTGGCGCTTGCTATGTGGATATGTAGGTGGCCACTAGAGAAGGTTTTACTGTATTATTTTTAAAAAAACATGATCCATAATGCAGAGCTGCCAACCAGTACGATTTTATCATATTTTGTATGATTTTAAGAAGTAAATACGACAGTACGACTTTTCCTCAATAAAATATGATTTTTCAAAAATTATTTAAGTAGTAGTAGTAGTAGTATTAGTATTAGTATTAGTATTAGTGTTAGTGTTAGTGTTAGTGTTATTATTATTATTATTATTACCTTAGCTTGGCGCTTGCTATGTGGATATGTAGGTGGCCACTAGAGAAGGTACTGTATTATTTTTAAAAAAACATGATCCATAATGCAGAGCTGCCAACCAGTACGAATCATATTTTGTATGATTTTAAGAAGTAAATACGACAGTACGACTTTTCCTCAATAAAATATGATTTTTCAAAAATTATTTAAAAATTGCCCATGCTCTCCTGTAAAGTATCCTACAAGCATCTCACATTGGCAATTTGGGGCTGAAGGCAGCTCTGTATTAATGTTCTATAATGTACAGATTAGGGACATGTTTGAAAGAGAAGAACTGTTCAGGGGGGGGGGGTATTATGTCTTCTTTACAGACAGGTGGTCGCTAGGACGTCTGGGACTAATTTCGCTTCTTCTCATTCCTGGGGCATTGCACACGATTCAGACGGCTCAACTTACTCCATGCTTCTCAGGCTCCAAGATCAGGAAAGCCTTTCTCTTCAAATTGTCCATCACCCAAATGTAAAAGTAAAAGTAATGGAGCGTTGCAAAAAAGTTGCAATCAATTGCAAATCCCCCAAATCAAGCGCAAGTCTTGAGATTAATTGGCAGTTTGAAATTGATCCTAACTCAACTTTCTTGCAATGCCCCATTAGGAGGAGAGAAAGAGAGAGATGGGGGAAGAATAAAAGCTAGATCTAGTTAACTTAATTTAATTGTTGAAACTTTAATCCTAACAAAATCCTAGGAAATTTTAGAGAGTCGTGGGGCGTTTCAAGAAAGTTGAGTTGCAATCGATTGCAAATATCAGTTGCAAATTTCGCAACTTGCCATCAATCACAACTCTCTTGCAATGCCCCATAGGTCTTTCTGTACAGATTTTTGTTTAGAAACGGTTGACTGCATCATTTCTTCCCATTCCTCAGGCATAGCACACAGTTCAGACGGTTCAACTCCATGCCTCTCAGGTTACAGCAGCAGCATCAGGAAAGTCCTTCTCTTCAAATGTTCCATCGCCCAAGGTTAATACGACAGCATGGGCTGGAGGAGCCTATGAAGGAAGAAGAGAAGGAAGATGGATTGTGGATGATGAAACCAGCTGGGAAGAGGAAAGACAGTGAGGAGGAAAAGGAGGAGGAAAAGGCAGATTCCATGCAGGTAGGTGTGAAGGTCTATGCAGACTTGAGGTTGTAAAGCACTTAAAGAGAAGGTTGAGTTGTGGGAAGAGGTGAAAAATGATTTTTGAGCGTTTTATCATTGTATTATGCTAGTGTGGAAGAACATCAGATACAAATGTTCCCTGAAAAGTGAAAAGCATGGCTCTCTACAAATGTCTTTTGCAGTCTTAATATTCTAAATATGGCATGTAACATACAAATTGGGACAGATTTTTATGCCACATGTTTGTGTAGTCCCATATACATATTTCTGTGTACAGTGCTTGTAACCAAGACTGGACCAAATTTCTTATGTTGACCCGTACACATCAATACTTCTTTCACGATGCAATCGCATGACCAGAACTCAACTTTATCTTTAAATAAACTGCTGTAGCATAATCAAATGACACAGTGTAGTATGCTTCACTTTTCTGTATCTTGTTGCATTGAGATCATTGAGAATGCATAGGGGTCATAGTTGTTGTTTTTTCTTTCTTTTTTGTTTGTTTGTTTGTTTTCGTTTGACCTCCCCACTCCTTGCCTTTTTTCATTAATTAATTTTTTTTCACAGCAGTATTTTGATGCAGTTTATCTGTCATACCTGTATCTATAGTGTCAGGTAAAGATTTATACCTGTTTTGATTGATAGGTTAGTTGGTCCCGGCATCTGCTAATTAAACTTCAAATCCCAGTGATCCAACATTTGCATAAAGAGAAGGTTGAGTTCTGGGAAGAGGTGAAAAAAAATTGTGAGCGTTATCATCGTATTATGCAAGTGTGGAAGAACGTCAGATAAAAAATATTCCCTGAAAAGCATGGCTCTTCAAATGCCTTGATATTCTAAATATGGCATGTAACATCATAAAAAAACGGGACAGATTTTTATGCCACATGTTTGTGTAGTCCCATATACATCTTTCTGTGTACAGTGCTTGTAACTTTACTAAGACTGGGCCAAATTTCTGACCATTTTGATGACTTTAGAACCTAGTTGTAGTACACACCAACACTTATATGCTAGATGATCAACCTTTTCTGATTGATTCCACAACGTTTCTTTCACAATGCAATCGCATGACCAGAACTTGTCTTTACCTTTAAGTGACCGTTGCCCCGGCCATGCTCTATTTTATCAGTAAATGTAGGATTGGGATTAAGGTTACCTTTAGGTTTCAAGTTAGGTATAGCTTTAGAGTCAGCTACATGCATGTATACTTTATAGTGGTTGCTATAGGGGTCAGAGACACTTAGTAGTGGGCTCTCACAGGGATTTCGACACCATTCAGGTGTTTACCCAATAACAGGTGTTAGCAATCACCGGGATTTTATTTATTTATTTATTTATTTCCTCACTATACCCTCACCAAAAGACTCTCTGATAGACCAGGGGGTATTTCTTGAAAGGACTACAGGTTTGATGTGTGCAGACTTTTTCACCCATAAATGATATTACTATTTACACGAAGTGTGGTGTCAACAAATTATGACCTTCTGCACATGGAAACTGACGACCCTCTCCCTTTAATGTAGGGTAACGACTGGAGCAAATGTCACCAGAGCATTTTTCTTAAAATTGAAATCTCCCTCACTTCCTTCAAGACCGAGTAGTTTCACACATAAATATATGTTTCTTGTGTGATACATTAAGTCATCAACACATTATTCCATTCATATTTTCTTACAGCTTGACCTGCCATCGCCAGATATCGTTGAAGAAGCTACCCTGCCATCGGAAGGATTCACCTTCGTCATGCCTAAGCCCTTATCAGCAAGACCAGCATCGTCGAGAGTTTCATCCTTGAACTTTGCTCCTGCAGGGAGTAGACCGATTTCAGCTCCAGCAACATTGGTAAATGAGCTTGCAGTTTAACATTATGATATTGAGGAGGAGGATGGTGGTGATGATAATAATGATTATGATAGTGGTCGTGGAAGTGTTGATGATTAGAGGGATTGGGTATCTTTGTCTCAGATTCTAAACAAAATCCTGGATTTAGCTCATGCTGCAATCATATTTATAAACCTTAAGGTCAGTCAGGATTCCCAAGACTTTAACAAGCGATCGCCTATCTGATATATCAAGATATTTATGATTGGAAATCAAAATTTCATTTTTCGTTTTTATAACGGTTTTCATAACACTACATTCTATCGGGAAAAATGAGTAAGACCGGTCACTCAAGATTTTTACTTTTTTGAGGCACTTCATGATCATTTTGAAGCAATTTTTTTTTAGGGCTTCAATATTACACCATATCACAGACACTGATAACACGTAGGGCCATGCATCTCAGATTTAACCTTGTTAAATGATGCCTTTAATGATGACAATGATGATGAACATGAACAAGATGATCAGAAGATGAGGGAGATTGTAAATGGTGATGATGATCATCATCAGTATCATGAAAAGTACAATTACTGATCCCTCCTCCTGACTCTGAGACAAACACAAGTCAAAGTGTGTTAATCAAAGTTTGATCATGTTTATGAATGAAGGAAACTTGCTTTGCTTTGTAGCTCGATGAGGAGGATGATGATGATGCCATTCAGCTTCAAGAAGATCGGCTGACAAGCTTCCATGATGATGAGGATGACGACGCTGATAACGACGATGGATTCTCAGACATCTTTGACACAGATTCACAAGAGGTGAGACAAATATTTTTGATTCTTAAATCTCAATATTTCAGTAATCACAAAGATATCAGATTAATTTAATAACCACTCATTTTAAATTGAACTATAAAGGCACAATTAATCGGGGGTAGTTTTTTTCTACAATATCTGTATGAAATGCACAATGAAGCGTGGCAACAATCAACAAATTTTGTATCCATCTATTTTAATTTTACCTTTAAGAGCACAATTAAATGGGGGTAGTTATTATTATCTACATTTTTTAATCTTGCTCAGTGCATATCGGTTTTGCATCATGGTTTCTGTAGTACCTTCAATCTTTGTTTTTTAAACCTGCCCCCTTCTGCACCCCAGGGTTCATCATCTGCATTTTCTGATGGATTAGCCGGTCTGATCCACGGTGCACTCATCAGCCCTGCTGGCAAGGCCATCAACAGTCCACCAAGCCACAGCATAGCATCGGAATCCTCCCAGTCAGGAAACAGTGAGTTAAAGAGAATGTAGAGAGTTCTGTGGAAAATGTTGGGATTGCCATTCTTTTTTATTTGTTGGTTTCTTTTTAAAGCCTATCTGCACTAGGAGGGATAAGAGGGATAAGACCTCCCTGCTAGGTCACTGACAGGTGGTTATCTCATCGAATCAGCTCTCAATCAACATGTAAGAACAAGGGGACCATGGGGGACCAACAGTCACCTCTTAGGCATTGTTTGCTATATAGAGGGCGCAAGTAGCTATAAGTAGGGCAGTGGGGCTTTAAAGAACCTCCCCATAGAGACATGATACGTATTTGGTTAGCCTCAAGACATCTGGATTTGGCATAATAATAATAATAAGTAAAATGAATAGCACTTCACTTCACAAACTTGCTTGCACGTGAAATATGTTTGAAACTCATGTGTGCTTTGCAGTATTTCACATCAAGGTATATGCACTTCTTACTTCAGAGGAGGGTGACTGACCATCCTAAAAAACCCATGTTTTGAGATCCTAATTTCCCTCAATTTTGTTCTTGCCCCACCTAGTTCCAAATCGCGGCGTAGACTGCAACACCCTGCGAACTACACCCTCTGGAGGGCCGCGATGCAGGAAGGGCATCTTCAAGATACCTAGCCAACCAGTACTAGCCAGGCGAAACTCATCCTTCCTCAAACGCACTGAGCGCCCCCAGGACACACCCAGCCCTGTCCAGAACAAGCGCCCTCGTAGTTCGTCTGTCGCCAGCCCGCAGGTCACCAGTATGGAGGCAGAGAAGGTGAGTGGCATTCTTCTACTTTCTTCTTCTTCTTCTTCTTCTCCTCCTCCTCCCCCTCCTCCTTCTTCTTCCCAAGTTTATTCTAACTCCTCTTTGGTTATTCTTTGTTTTAGGGTCGATAAATAATACCATGATATGATAATAGAAACATATTTCACAAAATGAACCAAAGTCAATTAGATCTTTAATATCATCAGTAGATAGACAGCATCTCAAAGATGTTACCTTTTTTTTGCAAACCATGTGAAATATAAAAATCAAAATTTCAAGTTAACTGGCTGTAGAAGTTGTTTGTATCAGAGAAAAAAAAGGGACAAGGCTTTACTGTTTTTATTTCCTCTATTTTCTTTGTATATTTAAGATGTCTTTATAATGTTTAATTCTACTGTTACTTTAAAGTGCAGCAAACAATATTATCTTAACTTGTTTCTGGGTCCCTATGAGTTATCTCTTCCCTCTACTCCCTCATAAAATCACACTTAAACTTCAAACAGGTAAGTTATCGTTTGAGCTTTCATATAAACATGCAATCAGGGATATAGCAATGAATGCAAAAATTCTACCTATTTATAGGTCATGCAACCACATGTTTGTCTGTCTAGCTTGTTTTCTTAGATTGCTCAAAAGGTCACTTACCAATTAGTTAAATCCGGCATTGCAAATCATCTCTCAGCATGTTTGAAAACAATAACAATTAGGTGGCTTCTGAAAGTTGTTTTTTCCAGAAGACCCTGAATGTTATCATTAAACCAGAGGGGCATTTCACAAAACTTGTCATCAGTGACAAATGACAGTTTTTTTGTTATAAGCTACTGAAATCCTTGCTTCTGATTGGTTATCAACAGGTTTGTCACTGATTTTTGTCATTTGTCATTGAAAAAAGGCTTTGTGAAACGATGCCAGGTTTTATTCAAGCTAACCCAAGAAGCCATACAAGGATTCGAGGAATTTCCTCCTATTTTTCACCCATTTCTTTTTAATGCGGGTGTATCCGCATGTACTTTAGATTAAAATTTAATTATTTGAATATGTCATTCAATTTTATAGGGCTTCATCTCTTTCTGTTCACCTGGGACCCGTTTCACAAAGCCTTTTTTCAATGACAAATGACAAATATCAGTGACAAAAAAAAAAAAAAAATTCTTTAATTAATGTTATTGAAATCACAGTCTGCGCCATGAATTGTTTGCTGTGTTTCATTTAGTGCTATAGTCAAACGTTTAACCGTCCGGTATCCGACCGCCCATGGCGGATTCCGTTTTCAATTGGACGGTTTCGTTTTCCCGTTTTTTTTTTTTTTTTTTTTTTTTAAGTTTTGATTTATGCCCCTCCACCTGGCACTATGCCTGGCAATGTCTCCCAGCTCAGTAATCGGGGTGATGACTTACCACTTGGAAATTAGAACAACACTCCAATTTGTCTGTCATCTTGGTTTGAAAGTAATCTTTGTAATAGATCTCAATATATATTCATCCAAGTTTAACACATGGTGTACCACAAGGTTCTATCCTAGGTCCTCTGTTTTTAATTTTCATTAATGATCTTACACATTATTCTAAAACGAAATTGTTACTATTATTTGTGACTAGTTCACAAGCAGAAATCGGCGCCTTCAGTTAAATCACCTTTTTTTTTTTTTTTTTTTTTTTTTTTTTTTTTTTCTTCGTTTAACCGAAAACCGTCCGGTTTTGACTGTCCGTTAAACGGAATTGGAGATATCCGTGATGTTACAGCACTAGTTTCATTAAAACTGTTGTCAATGTAACAATAATCCCTCCACTTGGTTTGTTTTAGTATATTTTTATATGATTTCAACATGTTTATGCAGCATTTTTAATACTATCAATTTCCTTTCCATCTAAGTACATGTACGTCAAAGAGATTTTGTACGGCTTCATCCATTCCAGCCCTTGTTTTTTAATGTTGTCTCTTGGACGTCATTTAAAATACCACCAATTTCAATGTTTTTTAATAGCTCAATAGCTGGATAAAGTTTTTTGGGAGAACTCTAAATAGTATATCAGGGCCATATTTCATAGAATTTTTATCAATAACAAATGCTAAATTTCTATGAAAACTCTCTTGCCTCTCAGCCAATCAGATTCCATGATTTCAGTAAAAGTAATTTTAACTTGTTATGAGACAGGGCCAAGATGCGTAAAGAAAAAGATGAGCTACATTCTCAGACCTGCCAACCAGTACGATTTAGTCGCATTTAGTACAATTTTTAGAAGCAAATACGAAAGTACGATCTTCCTTAATAAAATACGATTTTGAAAAAGAAAAAAAAAACCCTTTTTTAATTTTTTTTTTTTAAATTTAATTTTTTTTTTTTTTAAATCAATATTTTGTGTGTGCGTCAGCCATTTTCAATGGCAAAATGTCCATTCTGTCCTGTAAAGTATCCTACGAGCATCTCACATCGGCAATTTGGGGATGTTCATTGGTTCATCGAACACATCAGTCATGACGAAATCATGCATATTCAACCAATGATCAATAAAAAAAAAATATTCCTGTAGGTAGAAATTGTAAGAGCCATTGATCCGTGTAACAATCTGTGTTTATTTTCAAGAATACAACTTTTGTCAGTAAAATACAACTTTTGGGACTAAAGAATACAGTTTTTGAACTCCAGAGGTTGGCAGGTCTGCATTCTCTGCACAGGCCGTCCATTTTGTTGTGTTGTGCACACATTGTGTGCGGGTAAGCCTGAATCCGATGACCGGGGTAATAATATATCTGTAAAGCGCTTAGGCACATCGTTGGATCGGTGTATTGAGCGCTATATAAAAAAACGGATTATTATTATTATTATTATTACAGAGTTACAGTATGACATACATGTATGTCGCCAGGAATTTTCAGTTGAGAAAAAGCAAGGATTAAGATCCTTGAATTGACAACATTTTTAAAAGTTTGAAATGATAGTTCATCATGCAACTTGGGAAATTTGTAGCCCTACGCACAACATAGATCTATGGTATATCCATGTGTATTCATTTTACAAGTGGCACTACATGTCAGAATGAAAGAAAAGATAGAAATCTTGGCAACTTAAAGAGGAGAAGCAAATCAAACTAACCCTTACAAATATTCCTGTCTTGCATGAAGATCGTCATGTCTTCGGTAACAATATATATATTATTGTGAACTGAAAGGCATTACCATTATTTGTTCTAAGAAATTACATGTTTGCTTGTTCTCTCTTTTTCACGTTGCGTAAAAGGTCATCGTCAAAGGAGTTTTCAAATTGTCATTCTTTATTTTATTGTTTTTCTGATTCTTAAAATCATGTATGAGAATAGAATATGTGCACTTAAATAGTTTGTTCTAGTACGCCTACATGTCTGGGAAATTCTATGTTTCATATTGCTGCAAAATGTATCAAGTTCAATCTCTTGAATCTCTTTAAAACCATAGTCATTTCTGTGTGAAAGTTGTCCATTGTTTTGAAGTAAGGCTTTCCGGGACACTGCTAAGTCATTGCCAACCAAACTTTATATGTCTTCATCTTTCATGGCTCATCCCATTGCGTTTTTTCTTTCTTTCATTTAATCTACCACTGGTCTTTTGTTACCGCTTTACTTATTTTTGTATTTATCAGGGATAAAAACAGTCCCCTGAGCTTCCAATAGACAAGGAACGTTCGAGTCATGTTTTGTTTCTTTTTTCTATTTTTGTTTTCTTCAAAATTTTTTCAATCTCTTGCATCTTTTTAAAACCATGGCACTTCCTGTCAAACAGACAGTCTGTTGTTTTGAAGTAAGGCTTTAATTCCAGGACACTGGTAAGTCATTGCAACCAAATTTTATATGACTTCAACTTTCATGGTTCTTTTCATTACATTTTTTTTCTTTAGACATCACCGAAAAACAGGATGTGTCTGGGTCGTTCGCTGTCCATGCTGTCACCCAACGATCCCTATTTCAGAAGGATTGACCAGGCGCTGTCAATAGAGGGCGGGCAGCACAATCTAACGGGAGATCGCACCAAGGTATTATCAAGTTTTTTTTCTGATGCTCATCTCTGTGTGAAACTATGATTCATGTATACATGAATCATCGTTTAACAATGTTGAATGTTAGATGCACGTCCCTACGTGTTATCAGTGTCTGTTATATGGTGTAATATTGAAGCCCTAAAAAATTGCGCTTCAAAATGATCATGAAGTGCCTCAAAAAAGTAACGATCTTTGAGTGACCGGTTTCACCACACTCATTTTTCCCAATAGACTAGTGTTATAAAATCCATTAGGAAAACAAATTTTTAAATTTAGATGTCCAATCATAAATATCTTGGTAATCAGACAGGAGATCAGCTTGTAAAATACATGGGGTTCCTGACTGACCTAAAGGTTCATAATTATCATTGCAGCATGAGCTGAATCCAGAATTTTGTTTCAGAATCTGAGATAAAGTTCCTTTAAAGGTAAAGACCAGTTATGGTCATGCTATTGCATTGTGAAAGAAACGTTTTGGAATCGATCATAAAAGGTTGATCATCTAGCATCTAGCATCTGCAAGGTTCTGGAATCATCAAAATGATAAGAAATTTGGCCCATTCTTTGTAAAGTTACAAGCACTATACACAGAAAGATGTATATGGGACTACCCTATATCTCTCACAGACCATGAGAGAAACAAATTTACCAAATATATGAATTAGTAGGCGGTTTCCCGGCAAATTTTTTATCATGTATTATTCAAAACATATTCTTTCACATGATTGGTAATGAGAGCTTCCATTTCATTTTTTGAAATTGGGGCATTTCCAATACTGGTCTTTACCTTTAATATTCCCATTAATATGTCACATTCTCAAGAAACGTAAATCAGGACAAATCAATTTTACACATACTTTAAATATCACAAAACTTGGTAAGGGTATGAATAATTTAGTTTTTACAAAAGTATGTATGAAACCCCTTTATTTGTAGAGCAAAATATTTCATGATTTCAAGAATAATATCGAACAAGACATATGACACACCGTCGGCTGATTTGTTCACAAGTCTGAAATGGATGACTCTAGACAAGCGGTTTGAGTTAAGTCGCGTTATGATGATATATAAATGCGTTCATAACTTAGCACCTTCTTACCTTCAGGTAGGCTTAATCAATCCTAATGATGTGCATGAGCATCATACAAGGCAAATAGACAGTGGATGTTTACGTGGGCCTAGATTTCACACTGATTGTTATAAGTGTAGCCCAATTGTTTCTTCCATATTTGAATGGAATAAGCTAGATAATTCGTTGAGAACGGCTTCCTCTATCAATTCTTTTAAGAGATTGTTTAAACAAAGTTGTAATTTGTGAATGGCTCAGCCGAACATACACTACGTGCATGTTCTGTAATATTAACATGACTTATTCACATAACTGCGACTTAATTAATATTTTCCTATTGACATTACTGTTTACTAGGTTAATAATGTTTATTTTGCAAACAAGTATTATTTTTGTAACTGTTCTGTATAAATGTTATAAACGATGTAAATATGTTCATTCAGGGCCCCATGGAAGACCACTACGTGTTGGTGAATGGGCTACCCTGTCAAAAGATTAGAAATAAATAAATAAATAAATGAATGATTAGTCCCCTACTCCCCTTTAAAGTGACTCGGTAACATTGTTGAAGGTTGATGAAAAAACTGCATAATTTTTGTAAGAAATGTTACTTATTATATTCCTTTTACTGTACTAGCCCTTTTACATGCCAAAAAATGTAAAACCACAAAGATATTTATGGTTTTCTTTGACACCCTGTAACAGTAAATTCTCCAAACCTTTTTTGATTTTTCCCAACCATTTTTCCACGAAAATAAGACATATAAGACAGGCTTTTCAATATTTCAATACTTAATGTCTTGAATGGTATATAGAGCCAATTCGTTGCTTTGTGACGATATACATTCACCTAAAATGTAATTAATTTATAATAATGTATTTGGGAGAATTAAGGAATCGATCAGATCAGTTTTCCCAATTCTTATCATTAATAATGGTCTGTTTTCACTCAAACTTTCAGATTATCTTCAATTGTACATCTAGCATTGAGTGACTACCTTAGCACGATTTTTTTCTCATCTGAACAATGTTACCAAGTTCATTTGGGAGAATTAAGGAATCGATCAGATCAGTTTTCCCAATTCTTATCATTAATAATGGTCTGTTTTCACTCAAACTTTCAGATTATCTTCAATTGTACATCTAGCATTGAGTCACTACCTTAGCACAATTTTTTCTCATCTGAACAATGTTACCAAGTTCCTTTGTCATCCTTCCATTACTTATTTCCTCCAGTTACTGTACGGACACATCCACTCTAACTTTGTGATGACAGAAGCGCATTGCATGTGGAAGGACTTATTAATTTTGTTTGAGTTTAGCTTTTAATATTACCAGGGATGGGCTATTAACAATTGAAGAAGGAAGGTTGTTCCCGTCCCAAACAGTATTAACGAAGAAGGAGTCCTGGAATACTCTGGCCCTATGCCTGATCTGGTCATTAATGATGTCCTGTTCTCCTTCTATTTTCTTTTCTTGTGATTATTGCAGGCTTGCTCTGTACCACTTGTTACAGGGAAGCAGAAGGATTTAAAGTGCATTAGTCCCGAGACAATGTGTCGGCTGCTCAGGTCAGAATACGACCAGGAGATTGCTGAATGTCATGTCATCGACTGCAGGTATCCATATGAGTTCAATGGAGGACATATAAAGGTGAGTGAAGAAATGGTTTCAGTCTGTAATGTGTCAGCTGATGAGATTGGTAAATGTCATATAATCCACTGGCAGTGGACATGCAAGTTCAATGGAGGACATATAAAGGTGAGTGAAGAAATGGTTTCAGTCTTTAACGTGTCAGCTGATGAGATTGGTAAATGTCATATCATTCTCTGCCAGTGTACATATGCGTTTAATGGAAGACATATAAACGTGAGTGAAGAAATGGTTCCAGTCTGTAATGTGTCAGCTGATGAGATTGGTAAATGTCATATAATCCACTGCCAGTGTACATACGAGTTCAATGGAGGACATATAAAGGTGAGTGAAGAAATGGTTCCAGTATATAATGTGTCAGCTTATGAGAGTGGTGAATGTCGCATCATTGACTTGACCTTTCCCTTTGAGTTCATGGTAAGACAAAGGTGTGAGTGAAGAAAAGGTCTCGATCTCTAACTATATGCAAAGAAAGATAACCAACAGTCTTTTTCAAGACTATACCAACAGTCCTTTTCAGGACTACTCAATCCTCCCTCTCTCTCACATGGTGCACCCGCAAGCCTACTATATATCTACATCACCATGCAAGCCGATACTTACAAGCAGCATCTAATATGTCGGCCTTTAATGTCAAATTTCAGTCAAAAGATTGAATGTCTCATTAAAGATTGTAAATACCTCTACGAGTATAACAGTACTTGAACAATTACAAAACTTGGTAAGGATATGAAAAATTTAGTTTCTATGTTATTATATATTTCTATGTTTGTTACAGATAAATATTATTTACTGATGTTGAATTTGAACTTGAATCCCAGGGTGCAATCAACATCTATGAAGAAGTAGAGCTGAAGAAGATGTTCCTGGAGAACCCCTTACCCCCGCTCCCTAACAACGGCAGACGAGTCTACATCTTCCACTGCGAGTTCTCGTCTCAGAGAGGACCCAAGATGCTCCGCCTCCTCCGGGCGCAGGACCGGGCAGCGAACCTAGAGAACTACCCCGCCCTCTATTATCCCGAGCTTTACCTTCTCAATGAGGGTTACAAGGCTTTCTTTGAATACAGCACGGTAAGCTAACTGAATAAGCATAAGTATAAGTACTGATTCTTTCATTCTTGAATCGTATTTGTACGTTGAAGTAGGTATTTTTCAGAACTCCTACATTTATGCAATAGCTATATGTATACTGTAAAAAGCAGAACATTTTGGGACATGAAGTTTCGGGATAATGATTGGCGGCCATATTTTTTGGAAACAAATTTAAATTTCTTTCTACAATATTGTTTAGTGATGAATATGATTTAATTACGGGTAATTACATGGGTTCCATGACACATGCTCCGCCGACGATTGCTCCGCCGACATTTACTCCTCAAAACGCGACAATTGCTCCGCGACATTTGCTCCGCGACATTTGCTCCGACGTCAAATGCTCCGCCGACAGGTGCTCCGCCGACAGTTGCTCCGCCGACAGTTGCTCCGCCGACAATTGCTCCGCCGACAGATGCTCCTCCGACAATTGCTCCGCCGACAATTGCTCCGCAAAACGCGACAATTGCTCCGCCGACATTTGCTCCGCCGTCATTTGCTCCGCCTGAAGCGACACTTGCTCCGCCGACATTTGCTCCGCCGACATTTGCTCCGCCGACATTTGCTCCGCCGTCAATTGCTCCGCCGACAATTGCTCCGACGACATTTGCTCCGCCGATAATTGCTCCGCCGACAATTGCTCCGTCGACAATTGCTCCGCCGACAATTGCTCCGCCTGAAGCGACAATTGCTCCGGTGACATTTGCTCCGCCGACAATTGCTCCGACGACATTTGCTCCGCATAAAAAACAACACTTGCTCCGGTGACATTTGCTCCGACGACATTTGCTCCGCCCAAAAAGTGTCCCATTAAATACAAATGCTACTAGTACTACGACAAATGCTTCGCCGACAATATTTTTTTTTCACGGGTTGTTTTTGTTTCTTTCTTTTTTTCTTCATTTTTTGAATGCATTTCATGACATTATGTAAATGAAATGAAATGAATGAATGTTGATAATGTGGGAGGAAAAAGCAGTTGCCTAAAAGTCATTTCGAATATACTGAAATATCTTTCCATCTATCACTGTACGTCCCACATAATGTACACTAAACACTCATTACATGTCATGGGAAGTTTTTTTTTTTTAAAGTAGAGCAGCAAGCCACATTCCCCAATACGCGCATACCTCCTAGTTAATTTCAAACAGCTCATCAATATGTAAGACCTGAAATTACCTCAATGAAAGAAGACTAATAACATGAGAGGAAAGAAAAGAGCAAAAAAGACAACCGTTTTTTGCTATTCCCCATAATGTTTGATTTAAAAAAATAAAAAATAAAATTATAGCTCCTTACGCAAGTTCTCCGGCGAAAGATAATTACTCCGCTCAAAATCTGTTTCATGTATTACTCATTAGCTGATCCAAAGCTCAAGGCTATCTCTCTCTCTCTCTCTCTTTCTCTCTCTCCCATGCTCCTCCTTTTCCTGTTTACACCGTTTTCTTGTCTTCTTTGCTCTCTTCTTTCCTCTCATGCTATTAGTCTTCTTTCATTTCCATCACTTCTTCTCTGCTCCCCCTCTCGAGTTCTATTTCTCTCGTGAAATTGAAACGTAAAGTAATACAATCTTGTAGTACATTCTTGTTTAGAATAATATTTTCAATAATATCCAGTCCATTTTCTAAAGGTTTCTTTCCTTTAGTTAAGTGTATGTAGCTTTAATATATATATATGTTAGTGTGCAAAACACTCCGTTTCATTCGAGTACTTTGTTTTCACTAAATAATTTAAGGGACTCACGAAGCCACCGGAAGAAGAGCAATTGGCTTATCATGAAGAACTAACATCAAACTGCAACAAAATGATTTGTATAAATGTGAATAAGCAGAAAGGCTGCCATCTCATTTTCCCGTCTGAATGGGTTCTCTTCCTTACGTATATAAGTGCCCTTATTTTCTAAACTTTTTTTTTATATTTGTGTGTTTATTAAATTTTCAATCATATAAAAATTACATATTTACAAGTCATTGGTAATAATTAGACAAACAAAAAAACCAATATGTATAAGAACAACTAACAATAATGAAAGGACAAGAAAGTTATAAAAAAAAACATTATAGTAAAAAAAAATACACTGTACACATATAAATCATAGTTTGAACTCCAGTGCATAAAGGGGAGTGAGGGGGCACAGGAATAAAAGTTAAATCAACATGAGTATCATAAGTCAAATCGCCATTGCTTAAAATGCGAAACAGGCTTGTTCCTTTTTTTCGCTGAGAAATATTCAATATCTTTTTGTTTCTTTATAAAACTCTTAAAAAGATCAACACTTGGTAAATCCCCCTTAATTATTTTCTAAACTTCCATGATGACCTATTACATTGTATAATGCTTTACCTAGTAAGATGCATTGATCGAGGTAATTTCAGGTATTACATATTGATGAGCTACTTGAAATTAACTAGGAGGTATGCGCGTATTGGGGAATGTGGCTTGCTGCTCTACTTTTTTTAAAAAACTTCCCACGACATGTAATGAGTGTTTAGTATACATTATATGGGACGTACAGTGATAGATGGAAAGTTATGTCAGTATATTCGAAATGACTTTTAGGTAACTCCTTTTTCCTCCCACTTCATCAACATTCATTCATTTCATTTCATCTACATTATTTCAAGAAATGCATTCAGAAAATAAAAAAGAAAAAAAGAAACGAAAAAAATAGGTGTAAAGAAAATATTGTCGGCGAAGCATTTGTCGTAGTACTAGTAGCATTTGTAGTTTATGGGACACTTTTTGGGCGGAGCAAATGTCGTCGGAGCAAATGTCGGCGGAGCAATTGTCGCTTCAGGCGGAGCAATTGTCGGCGGAGCTATTGTCGGCGGAGCAAATGTCGGCGGAGCAATTGTCGCTTCAGGCGGAGCAATTGTCGGCGGAGCAAATGTCGGCGGAGCAAGTGTCGCTTCAGGCGGAGCAAATGTCGGCGGAGCAAATGTCGGCGGAGCAATTGTCGCGTTTTGCGGAGCAATTGACGGCGGAGCAATTGTCGGCGGAGCAATTGTCGGCGGAGCAATTGTCGGCGGAGCATCTGTCGGCGGAGCAATTGTCGGCGGAGCAACTGTCGGCGGAGCAACTGTCGGCGGAGCAACTGTCGGCGGAGCATTTGACGTCGGAGCAAATGTCGCGGAGCAAATGTCGCGGAGCAAATGTCGCGGAGCAATTGTCGCGTTTTGCGGAGTAAATGTCGGCGGAGCAATCGTCGGCGGAGCATGTGTCGGGTCATCATTACATGGCATGAAAATTTTGCATACCTCAACCACTCACAAAATTTGTGATAGTTTGTACAAGAAATGTTTTAATTTTGATACCTTTCAACAAATTCTTTAAGAAGATAAAGTAATACATTACAAACAAGACTGATGTGGCAGACAATAGGGATGTGTGCGATGACCTCCCCCCCCCCCTCCCCCCCCTCCCCCCAAAAAAATAATAATAATAATCATAACCATAATATAACCATTTATTATTGGAGGGGCTTTAAAAAAAATTCCTAAGACCTAATATGAAGTATGTACATTTCATTTTGCAGGAGTTTTGTGAACCAAAAATATACACTCCTATGAACCACGACGACCATCTTGAAGACCTCCGCTACTTCAGGGCAAAGTCAAAGTCATGGACGGAGAGGAGCAGACTGGTCACCCGCTCCAAGTCCCTCTTCTAAGAGCTCAATCTGTCGCCCTCTCAAGTTCAAAGCAGGAAAACCACAGCAGTTGATTGTACCATTGGATTGTACCATTGGATCCCTGGGGGTGCTGCTTTCGTGCAGATAATGTGTGTGATCCTAGTCTTTTATATCCTGTACGCAAGCTCTAGCTGCATTCTTGTCCTACTCTTTTTTTCTCCTATTTTATATATTTTTTTACTGAGCTATAAGGCAATGGTCAATGAAAGGTCTTACGGGTAAAGAAAAGGATCTTTTCCCTAAAATCCCTTTTGTCGTTTGAATAAAATGTTCAGTCCTGTTAGCGTTAAGCCCTGCCATAGTTCACATAACTTCACAATCTTTCATGTCAATATGAAGTAATGATAAGTTGTTGACCCTTGTAACATGTTGTAACATGTAATCATCTGCCAAATTAATTCTGCCCTTACTGCTGCAAACCTAGGGCTCACCCTGCTCTGAGAGAAAGGTACAATGTACATGTAGGTATGGTGTACCTCTAGGTATGGTCTTCACATCACGTCTGATCGCTGAACATCCTAATCTATCTCTTGTGAAAAATTGTCGTAACTACAGAGAAGTCTTTTTGTTTATGAATTAAGTTTATTGAGTACAGGTGCAATGAAACAGGCACATTACAATGATTCAGCAAGTCTAAGTCTTGTTTTTCTCCAATATTTAGTTAGAATGATATCCCAACTCAAGGTATTAACGTACTACTAACAATCATTCATGTTGCCTTGAGAAATGACATGACCTTTTTCGTAAATCACTTAAAACAAATTTAGACTAAATTGTTTGCTAGATTAGACTTAAGAAAGTGATGACCCGACATATGCTCTGATGGCATTTGTTAGGGATAGGAATAGGATTGGGCTTAGGGTCAGGAATAGGGATAGATATAGTGATGGTTCTAGGATCTTAAATCCCATCTGCACTAGTTTGGCCAGGGGATTAGACCTCCCTGCAAGGTCACTGACAGGTGGTTATCTCATCAAATCAACTCTCAATTAGCGTAAGAAAAAAGGGAATCATGGGGGACCAACAGGCACCGATTACATGTAGGCATAATTGTTTGCTATATAGAGGGCGCAAGTAGCTATAAGTAGTGCAGTGGGGCTTTAAAAAAAAAAGAGATTAAGAAATGCTCCTGCCATGATTCAAATAATATTCTAGCGAGGTTTCCCCCTTTCAGATTGGTCATAAAGAATGAAAGGTTATTTTGTACATATTCTCAGCTAGGATACAACAAATTTCTATGAATATGTTTATAAAGATGTGGGAAGCTACAATATAGAGAAAAATGAGTGGATGATTCTCAAAAATATCCTAATTTCTTGGCATTAGATACAGAATTTTGTTTATTTTTATGTTTGTCAGGGAAAAAGATACAATTATTCTCTTACGAAACTAGTACCTTGAGTGAAATTGTGGATTTTTTATTAGATTTTGAATTATGATTTTAGATTTATTTGATGAATAGTGTGATACTGCTTGTTATGTAGGATGTCTTTATAAAGTTGTAGGAATGTTGAGATCACTAAAAAATTAGTACATCTGTATAAAGATGCAAATAAAGGGGGCATTGAATTGTGAACTCATCATAAAGATTTTTTTTTTTTTTAAACTAAATTCTAATTTCTAAACTATCTAAAAAATGAAGTTTTGACAATTATAGTATTGTCATAGAAATAGGAGTAAATATATTAAGTAATTCAAGGAAGGAGAGGATTTATCAGACCTATTAGATTACTATTTCTTTTCTTCTAGTTGCTTTACTGTGTTTCTGTAATGGTTTTCATCCACAGTCATTTGTATTTTGAGAATGAATGGAATCAATTAACAATGAATCAGGAATGTCATGGAGGATTTTATTTTCTATCATGAATCTCATCAATGTCTGTTTAAATTTGTTTTCTAAGCTTTATTTGGGAAGTCATAACTGAATCATGATGAGTTGTTTGAATAGGTTTTATTTGTTGGTTTGTTTATTGTCATTTTTTTACAATTTTGTATTATGAAACCACAATTAGTATATATTATTTTTTAATTATTATGTCTACGTTATAGATTCGATACGACTTACGTTTGTCAATAAGTTCATTCCTCCTCTCAATCTCATTCTTTCAATCTCTTTCTCACTTCTCTATCACTATCATATTGTACAAAAGATTAATATACATTGTGAAATATTTTAAAAAGTAAAAAATATGCAATATGTATACTTGTGTAAATAGTAATAAATTATGTTCTTGTATCAGTGAATGAAGATTGTAGAGAATTATGAATTTTAAATAAGTATCTTTCTTGGGATGCTTCAGCATATTTAGTTTTAGTTGGTATGAGTGTGTTTGTGCAACAAGGGTACTGTATGAAACAGTGACTCACTCTCAGAAAGTAACGACTGTTGCTGTTTACTTTGTCATAATTGTGAACTCAAATTGAATCTTGACTTTTCTGGCACTTATTTGTACTGCTTAGAAAGATACCACAGAAAAGTTCAACTCTTAATAGACTCATTTTTATATTATTTGTTTCTCCTTGAGTGACACCTGTGCTTCATCTTATAAAGAGCTATGATTCATCTGGATTGTAATAAGAATAAAAATGATAAAAACGGTGCTTATAAAGCGCTTACCACCGAAGTCTCTAAGCGCTATATCGTAAGTCTAATCGATCACAAACATGCAAACTCAAGTCATGTATTATGGCCTTAAAGCAAGATTTAGTTGCTCTATTAAAGCACTCAGGCTTGAGGGAGATGGCGTGCAATGACAGATGAATAATCTACCGGGCTTTTGCTAACTTGGCTCTGTGTTGTATGTTGCTAGCAGATTTTTAAATTTTGTTTTGAAAAAATATATGAGGAGATATTGTTTCCAGTAGATGATAGATTTATGCCATACAAAAAATAGGATTTGGAATCTGTGTTAACTCTTTTTGAAATGATAATTGATTCCCTTGTATCTCCAAATAGACATTTTACTAGGCTCGAGAGAAATAACATTGCTAATTTGTTTTATAATATTGTCTTAAAGAGAAAGTTGAGTTCTGGGGAGAGGTGAAAAATAGCGTTATCATTGTTATTATGCAAGTGTGGAAGAACATCAGAGTAAAAATGTCCCCTGAAAAGCATGGCTCTTCAAATGCCTTCATATTCTAAATATGACAAGTAACAGCTTTAAAAAAATGAGGCCCGATTTTTATGCCACATGTTTGTGTAGTCCCATGTACATCTTTCTGTGCACAGGGCTTGTTACTTTACCAAGATTGGGCCAATTCTCTTATCATTTGGATGACTCCAGAACCTTACAATACGCATCAATACTTGTGCTAAATGATCAACCTTTTCTGATCGATTCCACACCGTTTCTTTCACAATAATGTAATCGCATGACCAGAACTCAACTTTATCTTTAAAGATATTAAGTGATTACCTCAAACAATGGTTGTCTCAACTCAAACATGCGTTATCAATATGATATTCAATCTTTCAAATCATTAATGATGCTACTACTAATACATGTACAAGAATTATTTCACAAAACTGAAGAATTGATTTTCACTGTGTATCAAATGATAAAAGCAGTTATGACAATAATAGCCCCCTCTATAGTCCATTTTTCTAATGTATTCATATTTTTTCAAAGTTCTTAACCAATAGCATGTCTCTTAGCAGGTGACACGACATTTGCTCCTGCGACAATTGCTCCGGGCTTTATTTCGTCTAAGATGTAGGGTTAGGGTTAGGGTTTCAATAGGGTTTTATGTTAGGTTTAGGGTTAGGTTTAGGGTAGGGTATAGTGTTGACTCCAGGGTTGAAGTTAGCCATTCGATTAGTGTATGAAATTTACAGCGGAGCAATTGTCGCCGGAGCAAATGTCATGGAATCCTCTTAGCAATGTAAAAGCTGAAAGAGGATTGTCTGACATTGCAACAATAAAATAATATATCAAAGGTGGAATCCATATTGAATCGCTATCATACAGTTGAATATTTTGTAACTATCCATAGATTAAGATACATTAGTAAAATGGTCCATAAGAAGGGGTAAAAATATGACTCAGGAAGGTTGTTTCTAAACCTGTATTCATGAAATGTTAGTAAGAAAAATTTTAAATGCTCTTGAGTGGATATCTGTATTATTTAAGATGTGCCAATGAATTTCAAAGGAATATTGTACAGAACATTGATAGATAACAGTATAGCCTAAAGATGACAGGTACAATATCTATATATTTCTTGATCATTTTCCAGTCACGGGCTTGTACAACTCGTATCATATAGAAATATTTTTATTATTGTTGTGTGAATGGTAATAAACCTCATAAAAAAGACCCATTTACTGTGAATTTGTCATCCTTTTGTAATTTACAGACTATCCGGTTAGGTTGTTTCAATTCTGTTACAACATTAAATTCTAGATTCTAAGGACAACAATGAATTAAAACAACAGTAGTTATCAATGTCAGTAATCCATTTATTCCAAATAAAACATGATACGCACAACTGTTATATTCGTTTTGAGGAAATGGAAAGAAAAAACAGGGCGTCATAACTTTTATGCTAACTTGGTTGGTACAGTAATTAAAATTATCATTCAATCTTTTTCAACACTAAAAAGTACATAATAGATGCATGAGAAAGCTTAATGGACAGTTATAAGCACAAAGAGCGTTTCTTTTTTATATAAATCTATTCTACATCTATTCTACCGGTAATCTTTTATTTCCCACCACCTGGCAAGTCGATTCATTCTAACACTACTAAAATCAGTAAAAGATTTGATATTTTGACATCAAGGGTCATCGCTAGACGGGAATGTGGGGGTTCTGACAACTGCCCCCCCCCCACACACACACACACTCATGTGTCTGCAAACTTTGCCTTTTTCCACAAAGCAAGAACAACAAAAAATGACTCGATCTTTCTTTTCTGTGACTTTTTGTTCTTTAAATATTTTTTTTTGTCTTCGCGGAAAATTTGTTTCCCACCCCTTCCTTCTCCTTTTTTTTTTTTTTTTTTACATGGTCGTGACAGCAATTTATTTGGCAATGATTCTTTTCTGCGGTACGAAATAAGGCTTTCTGGTACATGTACAAAGTCTTAGATATCTTGATAACTAGAAAAGAAATAAAATAAAGAAAACTGAAATTGTATATCCCTACAATTTTGGTTCCCGTAACATATTTTGACTGACTCTAACTATAGATTTGGGTGCTTTTAATAATAATTATAATATTTCACTTTTACAAAGCGCTTTTACATCTACGATATGTCGCTAAGCGCTTCGCAGGTATACTATTACGCCGCGACGCGCCGGTCATTGGATTCAATATTTGCCCGCACACACTATGTGTACAATCTCCACTCCCTGGGGAGCATTCCAGCCAGGCGTTAATCATTTCTTAATCATCTCTTAACTTCAACTCAGGTTCATTCAAATTAGTTCTGTCCTTAATGCTATACCATCATTTTGTTCTGAATACAATAAATACAACATATCTTCTAGAGTATGCGTTCTGTTAAACAGCGAGATAATATATATTTACAACAGACAATGAATCTTGAAAAGGAAGTCTGTCCTCCACTCGTACTTCTAAAAGATAAATCGTCAAATATGGTTCTGTTACTTTCGGGGTTGCAATGATTATCTAAAAGATAAATCGTCAAATATGGTTCTGTTACTTTCGGGGTTTACAATGATTATCTAAAAGATAAATCGTCAAATATGGTTCTGTTACTTTACGAGGTTACAATGATTATCTAAAAGATAAATCGTCAAATATGGTTCTGTTTCTTATCTAAAAGATAAATCGTCAAATATGGTTCTGTTACTTTACGAGGTTGCAATGATTATCTAAAAGATAAATCGTCAAATATGGTTCTGTTACTTTTAGAGGTTGCAATGATTATCTAAAAAGATAAATCGTCAAATATGGTTCTGTTTCTTTACGAGGTTGCAATGATTATCTAAAAAGATAAATCGTCAAATATGGTTCTGTTTCTTTACGAGGTTGCAATGATTATCTAAAAGTAAAAATTGTAAAAGAGAAGGATTTTTGTGTCTGTCTTCTCATTCTAATCAAGTGATTATGACTTTCGTCTCCTCTTTTCCCCCGATTTTTTCAAAGAAATTCATTATACGAACTAAAAGTTATAGGCCAACATGTAAGAGGTTTTACAGAAAATGCGAGATAATTGAGTATTTCAAAGTATGATAATAAACTTAGTAGGTAAGAATACAAGTACATGTACATCACAAGCAGGCGCGTACGCAGGATTTTTTCAAGGGGGGGGGGGGTTAACATTTATAAATCGGGCCGAAAATTTCGCAACGACTCAGCCGACCGCTGAATAAGCGGGGGGGGGGGGGGTAAGAGGAAAAAAAAAATCCAAAAGGGGGGGGTTTAGGGGAATTTAGGGGGGTTTACACACAAAAAATACCAAAGGGGAGGGGGTAACCTCCCAACCCCCCCCCCCCCCCCTGTGTACGCGCCTGATCACAAGTATTAATTATCGATAAGAAAAATAATCATCAACATCAATTCCTTATGATAATCATATCCAGCCCTTTTGACAATATATACCGTGTTTACACAGTGATCCGCATCGAGGGTTGAAGCCGGGTTGAAGCCGCGAGTGGATCGAAGCCGGGTTGAAGCCTGCAGTTTTATGTGTGTAAACGGGATCCCAGTGAGGATTGAAGCCGGGTTGAAGCCGCCCCTTGAATCCACCAGAATTGAAGGTCTCAACCCACCTCGCGGCTTCAACCCTGCAACTTTATGTCGTGTAAACGGGATCTGATCCGCCTCGAGGGTTGAAGCCATGTGGGCCGACGTGAGCAGCCAATGAAAATGGTAGTACTGATATGCTCTCTTCCCCTCCGGAAGAATGAACTACCTCACCGACCTCGCTAAAAAGAAATGCAAGTTCATTACTACCACCGACCCGGCCCGGACAATCACCCTAGGACAAGGACTTTCTCAGGACAATTCCAACCTGGATAAAAATTTTACAACGGACGGGGGTCGTTGTCTTTGGAGGTGCTTGTCCAGTCCTCGGATGAAGGAGATAATTTATCTTAGATAAATGTTATAGAGGCTATATAGCTGTCTGTGAGTGATTGTCCGGAAACGATTTGTTTCAGTTTCAGTTTCAGTTAATTTTTTTCTCATTTCCAACAGAACAGTAATTTTGACAAGAAATCATATATACAATTCAATATTCAATGATATAATACATTTTACATGATTTACAGTTAAGAAATAGAAAGTGTACATAAATATCCAGTATAATGTTTTTGTTAGAAGTTTGTTTAAGATATAAACCTGTGGAAATATAGGGATCCACTGAAAAGCAAAGCTTGTAAAATGTGGATCCCTCAAAATAATGACAAACATAATTGTTGATATACATGTAAATATATTGACATGAACAAAAATATATATACATGTCAAGACTATCACCCCGCTTAACTTGTTTTCGGACAGTTATCATCCAGACCTTAGTTGTCTGGAGCTAATTATTGTCTGAAAACAAGTTGTCCGGGATGATTTACTCCGGATGCAGTTGTCCGGCCGGACATGGATTAGAACATGATCCCTTCTCTGAGTTCGAGTGGAAAAGGAGGGATCCACTGAAAAGCAAAGCTTGTAAAATATGGATCCCTCAATATAATGACAAACATAATTGTTGATATACATGTTAATATATCGACATCAACAAAAATGCATATACATGTCAAGACTAGCGCCCCACAAAACTTGTTTTCGGACAGCTATCCTCCAGATAAGACCTTAATTGTCTAAAGCTAATTGTTGTCCGAAAACAAGTTGTCCGGGATGATTGTCCGGAATGATTGTCCGGGATGATTTACTCCGGAGGCAGTTGTCCGGACATGGATTAGAACATGATCCCTTCTCTAAGTTCGAGGGATGGTGCAGGTTTGGCGTCTGCAGTACGATGCCGATTGAGAAACTTTGGCGGATCATCGATGAGCTGGGTTGTGTAAACGAGGACGAGATTGACGAGGAATAGGACGTCGATGACCACGAGAAACCAAAAGGAGTACCCCAGGATGACCCGATGGGTGTTGTACATGTCATCACGGGCTTCCTGACTCAGGGCTTCGTATTGTATTTCGTTGGCGTAGAGGACAGCGTAGATGATTGTCGAAATGGCGCCGGATAACACTAAATAGCAAAAGAGAAAAAGATGTATAAGAGGATCACGTGATGATACCTCTGTCACACAGACGGACTGATGTTGCAGGATAGGGTAGGGTAGCATGAATGCAAACGTCGCGTGACAATTACCGACAATATAAACGATCGAACAAAGTTTGTTTATTTCATTACTTTATTCAATTTATTTTGTAAAACTTCTTACATATTCCTTTCTTTACAATGAGGTTCATATTTTTTTCTGAAAAATCAAATCCGAAATTGGGGATAAATATGTAGGACTGTAAAAGTAAAATATTGAAAGAAGAGAGTATTATTGCTGAGTGTTCAATATTGATAAGAAATGTATTAGTTCGATTTATGTTTCAGACAGAAAGACAGAGACAAGGGAGAGGAAGGGAGAGAGAGAGAGAGAGAGAGAGAGAGAGAGAGAGAGGGGGGGGAGAGGGGGGGGGGGGAGAGAGAGAACGAGAGAGAGAGAGAGAGAGAGAGAGAGAGATATGTGAGCATTCAAAGTTGAAACTTACATCCTATGCCATTCCATAAGTAGAGTCCTGGTCGTCCATTTATCATTTCTATTGGAACCATTCGGGCGTTGATGACACCATAGACCAGGGAAAAACAGGCGAAGATCACGATAATTATCATGAAGACCAAACACACGATGACGTAACTCGTGTTGAATACCCCGTCATACTCCTGGAACACTGAATTGAAACGAAGAAAAACAATAAGAAAAGAAAACACTTCACTTCTTTCGCCACATGAATTAATGGAAGTGGAATCGGGTGATATATAGGGACTTTATTCTGACATCTGAGGAAAGGGATTTGTCTCATTTCTGTTTGGAATATTTTATTCTCTTGCATGGCCATTTTTCCTTTCGAAATTATTTTGTTACAATATTATCGTATTTTGTTATTATTTCTATATTTCTCTAATATTTTAATAGAATCAACCCAATGATTGGGTCATATGAAATCATTGAGATCAATGGCCTTAACACACTAACAAAAATCATAATGTTGTGTTTCCTTTCTCTCTCTCTCTCCCTCTCTCTCTCTCTCTCTCTCTCTCTCTCTCTATCTCTGCCTATTTCTCTCTCTCTCTCTCTCTCTCTCTTTCTCTCCCTCTCTAATTGTGTATCCATATCAGGCGCGGATCAAGGATTTCTTTGGGGTGGAGGCCCAAATTTGAAATCAATTTGAAATTTAGTGTGTTGAAATTTGAAAATCGTGCCGGCTAATATTTCGCTCAGTAGGGGGGTGGGGTATTGAGCACTAATTTGTTTGGCCCTCGAAAATTTGAAAAATCGCACCCCCCCCCCCCCCCCCCTATCACCTTGAACGCCAGTGGGGGACCTATCTCCAAAAAAAAGAAAAAATTAGAAGCTCAGAGGTTTTATACATTGAATTATCGTCAGATGAGCATATTTTATACCTTATTTGTGACACTGGCAGGTCACGAATTGGCGTGGGGTCCAGGGGGCGGAGCCCTCGGAAGCTCAGGGGTTTTGAGCAATAAATTACGGTCAGATGAGCATATTTTTATACCTTATTTGTGACACTGGCAGGTCACGAATTGGCGTGGGGTTCAGGTGGCGGAGCCCCCGGAGGATCAGGGGTGTTAGACAATAGATTACGTTCAGATGAGCTTCCAGGGGCCGCCTTAGGGCCCCTGGTGGGGTCTAGGGGGTGGAGCCCCTGAAACTTAGGAGTTTTAGGCATGTAATTACCGTCAGACTAACATATTTTGGTACCTTATTTGTGACACTGGCAGGACACTAATTGGCGTGAGGTCCCGGGGGCCGAGACCACAGAAGCTCAGGGGTTTTAAGCAATTACCGTCAGATTAGCATCCAGCCGTCCGCTTTAGGGCCCTAGGTGGCGTCCAGGGGGCAGAGCCACCAGAAGTCAAGGGGTTTTAGGCATTTAATTACGGTCTGATGAGCATATTTTCATACCTTTGATATCTTTTATTTACTTTTTTTTTTATTCTTCTTTTTTTTCCTTCTTTTTTTTTCCTTCTTCTTTTTCCTTCTTATTTTTCCCAGGGGGGCCAGGCCCCCCTGCCTCCTGGATCCGCCACTGATCCATATAGCGACATGCTGTTGCAAGAATCTCTATCTAAGCTACAATTATCAAGCATCAGCTCTAGCCCTATTCAGAATTTCGTTCAAAGTAAACCAGCGGAGCTGAACGTGCTCCGAATTAGTCTTCATCGGGAAAAATATATCCATCTTATTGTCCTTTTTTAAGGAGAATTAACCACCAGAATATAAGCAGCTTTGCATTTGTTTTAAAACAACAGTCCCCCTCCCCCAACACTTTCCCCTGATAACTAGTATTATGGTTTTATTTTGACTTGTCTCTGCCCCTTTACAACTCGACATGGCGCCTGCTCTTTGTGCTCTTTGTAATTACGATTGTAGGTTTGGCATTCCGAGAAACCACCCATAGGAGTATCGTTTTGTAGTCTGCTTGTTAGACATAACCTTAATCTGAGGATTAGTCAAAGTGTCTTGTATACTACTGCTCGTAGTGCTCAGTGGGATGGAAGCCCTATAAGCGCCCCTGAAAGATACCCTACATTGCCTCGCTTTCCATTTCATAGTCATTCAAGGGTATTATGGGATTGCAATGGTAAAGGTCTTTATGGGGACGATTTACTGGCGGGGCAGTGGGAGTACGGGGGCAAAAATTACCCTCAAAATCATAAAGATGTAGTTTTTTTTTTTAATGGGAGGACAGCCGGGGTGACAGAAATGGATTGAAAGAAGGTATGGCAGGATAACAACATTGTCCTTCGATCACTTCTCTGTGTCTCCAATTAAGGTATTTATCAAAATGCACTCCTCAACCTAACGGGTAGTATCAGCCCCCCCCCCCTTAAACAAGTGGGACACTTTGCCCTACTGACTGCCTTTAGAATCAAGCGGATAGGAATGTGATATTCACTGAAACATTTTGAGAGCCCAGCAGTGAACCAGTATACACTGTAAATACTAGATTCATTTCATTTAATTGGACCTGTTTCGCTCACCTATACTTAAAGTCCCTCTAAAGTGTTGAGAGCCCCAAATTCGCCAAAAATTTATGGCAACATTTCAACTAAATTGTATCATAATGTGAAAGAGGATGTCATTTAAGACAAATTTTCTGCAAAGATCCCCCCCCCCCAAATGTGTGTGAAGACAAAATAAAAATATTGATAAAAGAATACATTGTTTTGAAAATCCTTGCAGAAATATGTTTTAAATGACACCCTCTTTCACATTATGATACAATTTAAGTGAAATTTTGCCATCAAATTTGTGGGGCTCCCAACATTTTTTTAAAGAAAACAGAAATAAAGTATAAAATATTGAGTTATTCTATTTTTATATTAAAATAGTGTACGGAATATTGATTTTCGTTTTTTTATGGCGTATCCCATTTCCTTGAATCAAAGTTTATCTCATTCTTGTTGGTCAGAGGAAGACGTTCTTGTACGTTAGCCCACGGTGGGATTTCCCGCGTATAAATGGTTCGATTCTAGTAAATAAGCAGTAATGAGACAAAATTAAGCAAACTGACTATTTTTTGTTGTTCATAGTTATATAAAACCTCTCGTATCGATCATTATCATCAGGTACCAGTCATTTGGCCGGTCTAGTCCTTTCGTTGTATGTATCCATCGATTGCAATGAGCATGAACCAAAGGCTTCTTTCACAGCTCAGCGATCTGGGGGTATTAGCTGCATTTTCAGCAGCTTTGTGCGAACAAATAACAGCCCTTTAAGAAGTGGCAAGTAACAAAATACATGGGGTAATATGTATCGATTGGCGAGTACAAGTCGTCTGGGGGAGTTCGGTGTGTAATTAACGGCTAGCAAAATAGCCTAGGGCGATGTGTGTGAGATGATAGGGACAATAACCAACAAGCAATTAATAGTCTCTTCTTATGAAAAGCGTAGTTGAAACGTCGTATAGAAGAATCATCGTATACTTTATGTTGTCTTAAATTTTAACCAAGGCTTCTTTAATTTGGTTTTGGTTAGTAGTAAAGAAACTACTGGATTGTATATATGGCCATGATGGCATAAGCCGTGGAATTACTGTTTTTTTTATATTATTTGGTTAAAGCCCTTTGGGGTAGAGTTTTAGAAGCGTGTTTAAAATGATAATTCCTTTACTTCCTGGCACACTTGAAATGTGTATACTGAAAAAGGTTTCCCTACCACTTCGCGATGAAACCAACAATGTTTGAAAGCAATGCTTCTTGGGGAAATGAACCAGGTGTTTCTCTAATACCTAGTCCCATATAAATGGTTGAACTATAATTCATAAGTTACTCATAATGATATACATCAACATAATGGGCAGACATAATTGATGGTTCATACTATTTGTAAATAATTTATTTACAGCACTGCTGTATATACATTTCAACAGATTCAATTACATCATAATTATTGTAAGCACATGTACATGAGTTAGTGTAAGCTACAAGATTTCATAATAACAATTGACAATATCAGTTCGCATTCCAACAATATCGGTTATTATTTTGTGGTTATATATTTCTTACTGCGTAATTTATAGGAAATGATTTTAATACTTTATGAATGTTCCCCTTGAAAGACTGAAAGAAAAATAACCAAACTCTAAAACGAATTCTTTGACAACGTTGAAGTGGTATCCAAAATGCCTGGTTTAATTCAAGACAGAAAATATTGTGAGGATTGTTTTCTTCATTGATAATTTCATTAAGTTGTGTTTTCAATAACTGAATAATACATACCCAATGAATTTCGAAATAAAACTCATTTGAGTCGAAAACCCTTTTCTTTGGTTTTTTGTTAACTTTTAGAATTGTATTTTTTATATTTCTATTCAGTTTTACCTAATAATGTGAAAACTCGTATGATTCAGCCTCGCAATACAAATCAGGACCCTGTTTCATGCAACGTAATATCAATAACTCGACACAATAACCGTTCTAAGCTAATGAAATCGTTACAATTAATTGACTATAAGCAGAGTTGTCATAGGTATGTGGCAATTGTTATTGATTCCTTTTTTTTTAATAGGGCCCAGCACTTGATGCCAATGTACGCTATACGATTATGTCCTATTATAGAAATCTAACATATAGCATGGACAAGATTTAGGCTTAATAATAATGAATATCTAGCTAAGTTTAGATAATGCTAACATGCATCTCATTATATTTACATTGCATTTAGTACTGTTATATAATTATATGCGTACATCATAATAAAAGAAATATAAATAAATATGCTACACAAGGTAAATAAGATTAGTACTTGCCCAGTCTAAGCAGCAATAGTGAAGAAAAAGCAAAATATGATGACCCACATTAATTTTTAACTGACAGATTGATATTTTACAATGTAAACTTTTTGTGACTTTGAGAGTTGGGGAAATTTATTACAATTATTTTACTTTTTTTCAGGCGTTCTTTCAGTAATTTACTTATAATATAAAAAGTTGACACAACTATTTCCCCCATAAAATCTCCGACGATCATCTCAACTTATACGGCCCATTTGTTTAAGGCATCACAAAATTGAAGAGGATAATTATGACCAGGGTCGTCACAATACAGAAATTGGAAACGGGCTATAATTATGTTGACTGCTCGTAGTGTCGTAGCTCAGAGAAGCGGGTCTCGGGGCACCTAATCCCCCTCCTTCTAACACTAGTGTATGCCTCCAGGGGGCTGGTCTCATGGACTCTACGCCACTCAGTTAATACATGATGCCCAGTCCGATGTCGCCGCCCTTCCCGCTCACATTCATCGACTTCTTCTTGCTGCTGAGCAGGTTGGGGTTCTCGACCATGTGAGCGAGGAAAACAAGGACGATGTTGACGCACAAGATGATGAAGGTGGCGACCACGAGCCAGAAAGAGAACCCGAAGTCGACCCGACTGGTGTTGAAGTTATGAGGGGGTGCGCGGTCGGCCTGGTTCAACACTTCGAATCGGATTTGAGTGATATAGATGACGAGGTAGAGTATGATGGATACCGCAGTGCACAGAACTGAAGAGAAAGAAAATTCGGAGAAGATGAAGGGATACTAATTGGAGAAAATATATATGGTTGTATATACATTTTTCCAAGTATTTTTATTTTAATGTAGTCAAACATTGATACGGTTGTATTGTAAACATGTAGAAATAATATTCACGATTTCAATAAATTCGTATTTTCATATTGAGAACATTACCAAGAAATGTTTGTCCCGTTCTAATCGTAATTGAAAACAACTGTAGTTTAATACCAAACTGAAGAACAAAATGATATATGAGATACAAAATTAAAATAAGAGAAATGAAATAAAGAGAGATAGAGAGAGCAGAGAGAGAGAGAGAGAGAATACAGTGCGATAGAGAGAGACAGAGGAAATAATAATCGACACATGGGGAAGAGACAAAATAATGTATGGGAGGTTTTGAGGGAAAGAGGGGGAGAATATGACACAATAGTCAAAGAGAATAACTATTTTTGTAAGAAAGGAGATCAACAGTTATGAATAGAGTGAGCAGAGAGAAAGGGGAAAATAAATGATGAGAAAGACTGAGGAAGATAAACAGAAAGAAGGATAGAAAGGCAGAGCAGAGACAGTTAAAGGAAAAGAACCGAAACAAAAGAGAAAGAGAGAGAGAGAGAGATTTATACATATAAAATAGAGGGAGGAGGAGGGAGTAAGAGAAAATAAATGAACTTTGATTTCTTTAGGAAAATCGAAAAAGAGGAAGAGAGCGAGAGAGGGGAGGGGAACATACCTCCTATCAGATTCCAGATGTAGAGACCGACGGGTCCATGAAGCGTTTCTATGGGAACGGTGAGGATGTTGACCAATCCGAAGATCGTGGAGATGAGAGCGAAGATGGCTGCGGGGATGAGGAAGATGATGACCGCTATCACCATGCCCGTGTCGTAGACTTCGGCATGTTCGCTAAAGACTGCATGTAAAAACAAACGTAAACAAATTAGGTTTTACATATGGTATGACGGAAGACAAATTAACAACAGCGCCAGTTTATATTTCGCCTTGATATCTTGCAATTTTGAAATCTACTATTATATTTCTAAATAATAGCAGGGTAAATGGGGGTGATAAGGCAAACAGTTGGAACTTGTAAAGTTTGGGTTTTGCGTAACCTACATGAATTATAAATTTCACTCAGTTTCATATTTTTATTCAATCTATCTTATCTATCCTAGTTTAAAACATTATGCCCATTTATTTCTACCTATAACGAAATAAATACACTACTACTAAGTTTCATCTCACGGAGGCCTATTATAAAGGGCAAGTCGATTTGCATAGCTTGCTTGCACAGACTCCCTCTCTTTTTCTATCGCCGACGTCACACTGTATGCTGCCATAGCACAATTCAAGCATGAATACAAAAGACGAAGGCAACTTTTTGTTATTTTCACTTCAGGGCATTATGATCTCAAGGTTTCACAAGCCCCTATTGACACTTCAGTAGCGCCATTGTTAAAGCATTTATTATTACGAGTGTATGCCAACATACCATCGAGTACAATAGGGGTGTATTTGGGACACGTAAAGAGAAACGAAGAACGGAGTGGCACAAGAGAAAATATGAAGTCAAGTGGGAAATGAAACTTTGAAAGAATTGCTGACCAACGTTTGATCAAATTTGACAGCCATGGACTCCTCCTATCATATAGAAAGATGTGGGAGTTGCTCATGACCTTTGCTCGAGATATATACCTTCCGTATGTTATTCTAAATCGTTCTATTTTATTACACTTTAATGAAAGTACTTGTTCTTGTCTAAATATCAAATAGGAGTGCAGTGACTATAAATAGAAGAAAGGTGCGATGTGTATATCACAGGTCTTCAAATGAATATTTCGTCCCAGTTTGACCAAACTTTTATTTTATGGAATTACCGCCGTTTGCACGCAGTGAATATCAGTTATCAGGAATGGACATTCCTTCATACATAATCAGCATGATTATATAAAAGTGATTCCAAAATTATTCAGTTTAATGGTGTTGCTACTAGGTATAGAGGGAGGACGAGAGAAAGAGATGGGAAGACGAGAGGGAGGGAGGGGGCTATGGTGAGATGGGAGACACGGGGGGGGGGTGCGTGACTGAGAGCGAAGGTGAGTTAGAGAAACAAAGAGAGAGAGAGAGAGAGAGAGAGAGAGAAAAAAAAAGACTGGGAGAGAGAGGACTGTGATGAGGGGAGAGAGAGAGAGAGAGAGATAGTAAGAAAGAGAGAAAGAAAGAGGATGAGAGGAATATAATACCAACGAGTAACACATATTATGAGCACTGAAAATAAAGCTGTAATGGATTTAACCATCCTCTTAACACAACTTTCAATAAAATAATTTGTATACAAACTTCAATTAGTCAATCAGTGATCAATCAACCAACCGCTAAAAAAAAATTCGTTACATTTTAGAAAAGTTTTCTTGATGTTTTCCCGATGTACCAACAAATACATTATGTAATATGGTATGGTTTCATTCCATTTTTAATTTAAACCTAAATAGGTGAATCAAATAAGTCACCGAACGCTCCGTGAGGAAACAAATATTGTTCATGTCCCGGTTGTCCCCCATTATTGATCTAAATAGAACTAATTGGTATAATAATAGATTTTCTAGAGAATGATAATAAACTTGGGAAAAAATGAATTCAGATTTCAGAGTACATACCTGAGTAACAGTTGTACTTTCGTCCTCCCAGACCATAGTTGAATTTCTTGCATCCGTAGAAGAGCCCGAAGAAAGACACCCCATTGAAAGCCCCAGGATCGTCCGATTCGATGGGATTCGAACCCAGGAACCCCCTGAGAGGTTGCGAGGTGTTGAAGACAGTGATATCACGCACAAGGTATGCCCGCACCCAGCTCGTCGTGCCCAGAGCAATCCCGAGTAAGATCATACAGGCGATGCTACCACAGGTAACCATGAAGAACAAAGTAGCCCTTCGCTTTATGATCGCCTGACACATTTTGATTTAATCCTTAGCTCAGTCCCGTGCATAAAATCCACTATACAGCACAATGCTGATAAAATACAATTTGAGTTAATCAGTATAATACTTCCGCTTTACTCAGTACACCTGCGATCACTCGCGAATCGGTTACAAGTTTTGCATTCTCCAAGTTCAGCTTGGTTTAGACTCTGACTGAGTTGGAGAATGATTATAACAGTTGGTGTAACTGAAGGGTTCCAAAGTGGGCCTAGTGATCTCCTTTTGTTTCCCACAGAAGCTGAAGACACCTACTCAAAGAGTCGCGTATAGTCATAATAATATATTCATATCAGAATATTATGAAATGTATGATCCATTCTTGAACGCATCTAAATGAAAATTTCCTCCGATATAGGGTTTATGATATTGATCCTTTCACCTTTTCCGGTTTGCCTGTCCAAGATAAATCATAAACTCGAATGCAGACAGATGAAGTCGTGTAAAAGTTCGATTTAATCTGATTTCCAGCTTATGTTAAGCCGTTAAATGAAACATCCATACAATGAATACATCGACTTGGAGCGCAGTGTGTCATACTGGCGCAGTTGAATACAGGTAAGTTAATGGGAGTGTAGGTGTGTGAACCAAAAAAAAAGTTTGACAATAGAAGTTATTGGACTGTGGTGAGGTGCGGTGTCAAATGACCATGTTATAAAGACTCTTCCATTCTTGATATGGGGCGGTCATACTGTCTCGAAGATGGGAACTCTTGACAAAATCTTGTGTGTAGAATTACATGTTTTAATCCTAAATTAATGTTGGCATAATCGATGAAGAATTCCCTTCAAGTTCAGGTAGACTGATTAAACTAATAACTGCTAATTATGTACCAATGATTAAACGTGCAAATTTTAACTTGGCGCCAAATTTTTCGGTACTCCAAAATTATTCGTTTCGCCACATTTTTGTCAGTAAAAGCAATGTCATTTTTAAAACCAAGAGCAGAATCTGCCCTGGTAGGAGTAAGCCGTTTGCGATCTGAAGCTGACAAAATTGGAATATTGTTTTCGGCTTGTTTTTGTTTTTGTTTTTGTTTTTTTATTTTTTTATTTTATTATTATTATTATTATTTTTTTTTTGGGGGGGGGGGTTGGGCGCCAGGGGGGTGCAAATTTTTAAATTTTCGAGGACCAAAAAAAAAAATGTGCTCACCACCCCCCCCCCCCCCCCTACAAAGGCAAATCTAAAAGTGAAAATTTACAATTTTGTTAGATATACCCCCTACATTGTGATTACATTATCTGAGATGCTTTCAATATTTTTTTCTCTTTATACATCATACAAGATATTGCTTAAGCACCCGTGGTGGGGGGGGGGGGGGGGGGGGGAGTACTCAGATTTGGCTTGGACGGGGGTGTGTCGCTTAAGCCTCGAAACCCCTACCCATTTTTAAGGGTCATTTGGGGGATTTTTCTCGAGGTACGGCCCATTTTTCATAATTTTCGGGAGTTTGCCATGCAACACCCGAAAATTTTGAAAAAACAGACCCACTTGGTTTAGAGATATTTTTGTTAAAAATGGGACTAATGTTTAGAGATTTTTGTGTGAAAAAGTGACCCATTAGAGCAACATACCCCGTATATCTTATTATGTGCGTATCCCCCCCCCCCCCCCCCGGGCTTAAGCATCATACTTTGCAGTTGGGTGTGATGGTCTGAATATTCATTTGCTAGTGAGAGAGGAAAAAAATAGATTTGTGAAGAGGCAAAAACCTAATCCTGATGGGCTATATGCACTATAAGTAATATAATTATATCATCTATAAATGTGAGTGAGTGTAGCGAGCGAGCTTTAGGGGAAATTGCTTTTTGTCGCTTTCAATTAGGGATACGTTTAATGATGAGAGGAAAAAGGGGACACTAATTATCGGAAGGGATAAGACACTTATTAAAAAACAAAAGGAGCATGTAGTGTCAAAGTACAAAGGGTAATTATCAGGGGGTGAAAATGGGGCACTTCTTACACCTGAAAAGAGGCACTCGATCACCAGAGATGATAAAGGGCACTGATGAGAATGGGAAATGGGCATTTGTCGACGGAAAAGGGGCACCCATCAGGTTTTGATAGGGGCATATATATATATGAGGTGAAAAGGGGCATTTAGGAAAAGAGGATAGGTTCCTTATTAGAAAGGAAAGGGGGATAGGTTCCTTATTAGAAAGGAAAATGGGATAGGTTCCTTATTAGAAAGGAAAAGGGGCATTATCAGGATTAAAAGGAAAATTATCAAAAGTAAAAAGGGGGCACTGACTAGATATGAAAAGGGGTAGGCTTCTTATGAGAATGAAAAGGGGGCACTTATATTTAAGGAAAATGTGCATTTATTTTGTTGAAAGAAAAGGAGCACCCGATTTGAGGGGGCATTAATATGAGAAGAGGGAATTAGTGGCTCTCATTAAAAAGATAAAGGGGCATGTTAAAATAAACGGGGCACTTATCAGTGATGAAAAGGGGTAATTATGAGAAGGGGAAGGGGCACTTGTGTAAATGAAAAGGGATACCTTTCCCACCTGTATATAGAGGAGCACTAGAGATGAAAAAGGTCACTTATGAGAATGGAAAATGGACACGTCTTATTGCAAAGGAAAATGGGCACGTACGTGTCAAAATAAAAGGGGCACTTGTCATTGGGGCACTGTACGTGCACCCCGACCCCCCCCCCCTCCGGAGCGCTGTGTTTAATTTATGATTACTATTTCTTCTTTATTCGGGGGGGGGGGGTGGTACGTGGTCCAGAAAATGTCTACACTTTTTTCCTATATTGATTTACAGGCTTATATCAATTAATGTTCAGCTGGATATTGGCTAAACAAATTTTTAGTAAAATACCTTTTTCATGTTAAATATTCAATTAAAATTGAAAGTGTAGTGTGTTTGTGTGGTCATCATTATCATCATTTCGTTATCATTATTGTTATTGCTGTTGTAGGTATTATTTTTGTGTTGTAATATCGATTATGATCACTATTATTATTATTATTGATTTTTTTTCTTCACATTATCGTGCAGCATGCATGCAGCGCTAAGCGCAGGCATTTAATGTATTGTCATGAATGAAAGCTGCCGCGTGAAGAGCGAAGAGAAAATGGCGACCTCCATTCATGGTAAGTATTGCTGTAATTTACATGTTTTTAAAAACTATAAATGATGTTAAATCGAAACAAAGGGACATTTGAGAGTAAATATTTACGATGAGACGTTCATTTTGGGGGAATTTATTAGAATTATCCAAGTTTATTGATGTTTATTGATTGACCGCTCCTGTGTACAGTCCCACTTGTTATATAATTTGTATGGTGTTGTGCTTGGTGATCTAAACAGCTAGTATGCTAGCTTGCTAAAGTTCTGCGGCGCTAGCGCTAGTGTACTTTCGTACCCAATTTTTTACCCGTAACTCCTTCGTGGAGATACCCTACTAAAACATACCTAAAAATCAACTAAATCTTCATAAATTGTTCAAATGATGGTCATTATTTAAAAGTTGTTATGTTTCTAAGTAACTAACCCCATTCGTGTCAATTTTCCTATCTTTGTTGGAGTAGATCTAGATCTAGACCGAATTTTCCGTCTCTTTCGTTCGTTAGCCTCTTATTGGGGTAGGGTCGGCCGGCTCTCTCTTTAGAGACGGAAGCCGTCTATACACATGTCCTTGCTAACGCCACGACCAGTTCTGGTCGTAGCGTTTTGCCCCCAAAATCCCCCAAAATGTCATTTTACCTCATGCATTGATTATTTAAAATTAGGAGAAGGTTTTACTACCTCGGTTCCACTTACCAACTTGACTGTATAATCCGTTTAATGGTCCCTTTTAAGGAAATTACGGGTCTAAATTGACAGCCGTGTTGAAAATCTTGCAAGGTGTGTTAAACTCTCGCTGCCGGAGTCATCTAAATCAATCTCATCCCTTCTAGTCTACGCCGAAGGCAAAATGATTATGAAGGAAAAACTGTGCGCCATCTACACGTTCGTAATGGCGTTATCACAGTTTTTCCTTCATAATCATTTTGCCTTCGGCGTAGACTAGAAGGGATGAGATTGATTTAGATGACTCCGGCAGCGAGAGTTTAACACACCTTGCAAGATTTTCAACACGGCTGTCAATTTAGACCCGTAATTTCCTTAAAAGGGACCATTAAACGGATTATACAGTCAAGTTGGTAAGTGGAACCGAGGTAGTAAAACCTTCTCCTAATTTTAAATAATCAATGCATGAGGTAAAATGACATTTTGGGGGATTTTGGGGGCAAAACGCTACGACCAGAACTGGTCGTGGCGTTAGCAAGGACATGTGTATAGACGGCTTCCGTCTCTAAAGAGAGAGCCGGCCGACCCTACCCCAATAAGAGGCTAACGAACGAAAGAGACGGAAAATTCGGTCTAATCTAGATCTAGACATCTAGGACTAGATTTTTCCTAAAATGTAAAGTAAACACAAAAACATAAAATAGATCTAGATCTACACTTTCTCACAGGTTTCACGGCAAACCGCTGCACAATAAGAACGCAATTGAAAACCGTTCCAACAAAGTTAGCGACTGTAGTGTAATCTCAGATCCTCTTTAAATTCATGTAAGTAATTATTAACATTATGAAGATGATGATCATTATTTCCCTCGTCGCGTCCTGTTTCGCTAGCATTTGCAAATCGTATAGTTTCAGCTATTCAACTCAGCGGCTACCTAAGGTCTGTTTGACACCCAAAAAATGTTGCAGGTTTTTACTTATGGGTGATATGGATCATATGGTTTGGACTAAGGTATGGATTGAGTTTTTTACCCCTGATTTTTTTTTATTACATCGAGTTTAAACAGATTCAGTGCTCACGGCGCCCAAGAAATGCATACAATGAGTAAAAGGTGGCACCGCACTAGGAGTAGGCCCTAATGATAGATTCCAATTAAATTTTCAAAGTATTTTCCCATCTTTGTGAGTTTAATTGATTGTATTTCGCTGCTAATGACCTGTTAAGGTGTCATCAATTGTCATTAAAGGGCGGAATGTTTGAGAATTCTGGGGAGCCTTGTCCGGTGGTGTTAAAGAGTTTTGAGAAGCAATAGAGGGTGTCATATATTTTTTTTTTATTACTCACAAAGTATTCATGCTGCTATTCTATGAGTGCCTTTAATGGACTGTAGAAAGAACTTCTGATAACTTCCAAATGGTCCAAAGGCTGACAGCTGTAATATATTCAGGTATATGTTTGCTATTCAAAGATACTCTACTATGCCAAGATCCATAATCAAAGTTGCTTGTTAATGAATACCATCAAAATGTAATCACGATCACCGCATCAGGATATGATTTGTTGGAGTCTCCAGTATTTTTCAGCAGCAAGATTAGTGCTGAACAGATATCAAAACATCTCAAACGTGACATCTTTGCTGGAGAACTTTGGCTTGCTATCACTCTAAAAGAGCGTAGAGGACTTTAGACTGGTACATGTACTCATGTACAGGCTGCATAACAACAACAACCATGTTGAATTTCCAAGTGGAAGATTACATCACCCGATTTGCTGGTCCGACAAGAAAATTGATCAACACAAGTGGATGGCTACCAGGGCAGCATCTCACGAAACCGTCATAAGTACAAGTTCATCGACATCCCATTGAAATGCTTGTATTGAGTTTAACACACGTTTCGATAGGATGTCGGTGAACTTGTACTTATGACGGTTTCATGAAAAAGTGTCTCATCTCACATTTGCACTTTGCAGTCGTTGATAGATAGTGTGTAAGACACGCACGCAACAGCGTCATGTTTATTGCGATGTCAGTCTCGATGCCAAACCAGCCATCAAGACATGACATACATGTAGTCACCAAGACATTTTTTTAAAACAATAACAACATGTAATTCTGTGATTAATTAAGAGTCCTAGTATTGGACTTTATCTGAAGGGGCTAAAAACACCAACCATTATTGTGCATTGAAATTCATGTGGGTACACACTCATTTTATCTCTGAGGTTATGACCTCATACTTCGAACCAATATGATCATGGTGCTGCCCTCTACTGTTGTACATCAGCAAACAACAATAAGCAGATGCAGTTTTTCTCACTCTCTGCAAAAAAAAGGGCAGCACATATTAAACTAGAGTCATGTCTTCCGCAAAAAGTCACCCAAGTCTAAATTTGAGAAAAAAGCAAAAATTCCTGAATCTATGGTATAGCTTGTCGCCTTACCTAAGAAGTGATGGAATTGATTTTCAGCTTTTTGAGTACTTCTTCTTATAGAAAGTCATTGTGGTGGTGGGTGCGTATGTGTGTGTAATGATTTTTGATACTAATTATGTTCATTTTCAAAAGTGTCAGTTTTTCTCTGGTATTATTTCAGTCTAGTGCTGTGTGACTCAGATAAATTTTGATAACATAGAAATGTAAAGAGTAAGGATGAAGTGTTTTGCATAGTATTATATACCATATTCATGATGCAAAGAATAATGTTTAACAAGCTCAGATGGTTTTGTTGTGGTCTGAACTTTTGAAAGGGATGGTATTAAATATTTATAGAATGAGGAAAATGACATTCCTATCAAGCTACTGTGCTGCCATCTTCATGAAACTCAATGCATACTATTGTAAGTTCAATGCATGTTCAGGTATCTTGATGCATGTATTGTATAAACTTGTATATTTTTGTTTTTGAGGATTTGAGTGCAAGGCCCTTTTGATAGTTAAATTTCCACAAGTAGAATGTGTAATTTCCTCTTTAATGTTGAATACAGTACCAAACCAATTATAAGTAACTGACCAAAGTGTTTATTACCTTTTTTCACCCCTATCACATGATCCAGTTACAATTTTACACTTTTTTGTGCACACTCTCCACTCCTGAGGGAGTTTCCTAGCTAGATAGTGACCACTATTTCTGAGATCTATACACATACCGGTACTGTATTTACAATGCTAATCCAATCACAATTCAGTTTGCATCATGTACATTTAACACCCAAGTGGAGAGAAGCAATATACCTGTAGATAAACTACCTTAGACAGGGACAAAGTGTCAAGTCAGGGCAGGAGATCATGACCTTTGCATTACCGTCTTCCAAAGTATGTAGCAGGGATTACAATAGGTGGTTTGGGTGAACGCGTCATGTCTCCATACCCAAATTACCTATTTTCATCCCTGCTACATACTACAAAGACACAACCACAACCTGAAGTGTGTAATTCCTGTTGCAACTATTGACTCCTTCAAGTTCTCATACTATCCAAGAGCAATAATGATCTGGAACTATCTGCCCCTGTGCCAGGCTCATCAGTCAATGCAAAAGGAATAACCCACTTCAAGGAGGCTGCTCTACCCTCCATCAGAATGATGCAGCCCCCTGTAGGTTCTCACATCTTATAAAGCTTAACTAGCTTGGTTTTTACTTGCACTGGACTTAGCATATTTTACTGTAAATTAACAAGTGCTTTGTCCACACATTATTCCAGCAATTCTTGACACTCCTTGTAGTTATTCGCCCCACCTACCATCCCAGTGAGCTGCCAAAGGGTTTACCGAACCAATTACCTAGTACCAAGTATCAGTCAAGTAATTTAGATTAATAGTTACATGTAATTCTTCTACAAGTACAACACGTCATTTTCCAGATCATACATGTATGCAAATGATATACTGGTACTAAATGGAAATCTCTTACCTATGAAAGTTTCTCTATCTCGTGCTCCGAATCCATAGTTGAATTGTTTGTGTCCGTATATGACCCCGAACGTGACAAGACCTGAGAAAGGGTCGTTCGGTGGATCGTTGACACTGTCGGGGGCGCCCGTGGTATTCCTTATGGCTGTACACTCGGACCAGTTTGGTGAGAGGAGCGATGTTAACGAGAAGGCCAGGATGGTCAGAGAAGAGAAGCTTGCTACCACGTAGAGTGTTTTCACGCTCTTTTTAACCATTTTTATAGGTTACTGTTGCTTCAAGTGTTACAGTGCAAGGGGTTGTCAATGAAGTTATGCCCTTGGGTCCTCTCTGATGTTAACTCATAAAATGTAACTTCATGACATGCTATATTGAGATGTTTTGTAGTTTACTGCAGTACTCTGTCAAAAAACTGAGGTGGATTCCAGATTACAGGTCACATCTAAGAAAAGAGAAAAGAAGAATATAGATATTAATGTTAGAGAAGGACATGTACAAAATGAGAATGAACAGAGGTAAAATGAGAAAGAAATGAGGAAAGAAGAACTGATTGTGCTTGTAGAGAATTTTTTTTTAAAGGACGAAAAATGGTGGAAGAATGAGATTTAGGTAAAAAGAAGGAATTGGAGTTGAAGAAGAAGAAGTAAAAGTCAAATTCAACAAAGGATATTACAATTGAAACCGACAAGTAGTTCATATCAGTTGAAAGTGACGAGAAAGTAATTGGAATTACGAAATTCACAGTCAAATTATTGTCTTCCAAAAATTAAATTTCACAATGTGATGCTAAGATGATTTCTTTTGAGTATTGTATAGGGCAGTATAGGGTGGGGTACGGCTAGGTCAAAGGTCTTGATCAACTTCCAAATAAGGAGGGGCTGCCATTGACATAGAACAGTCATGTGTTCCCCCTTTAATATATCTGAAGAACATTATTTGTGTCGTACTGCATAAGTTTCAAGAACTAGTCATTTTCTCCATCAGTTATATGTCTCTGATATGATTCAGAACACATTATCGGTTCTATGTATTTTTTCCCTCCATTTTCTTGTAAGGAGGAACCTTCATTGCATAGCTTATATGCTACAGTGCAAGAGATTCTTGACCTTTACCCCCTCAATACAGACTATACACATTCTCCTTCATGTGTGCATAAAGTTCTCATGCAATATATCATATATTTACCTATTTGTGGTATGCAATGTAATATGTTTAAAAAAATATATTCACTTACCATATGAAATGGAGAATTCTTATAAAATGATGAAATCGTTCCTGGACGTATGCCCCTTTCCGATTCACTCCTGGAAGGTTTTCCCCGGTCTGCTTTGCTAGATCCCTTTTCTTTGAAAGCGCGATTAGCAATCAGGAATTGCGTTCAGTTTTTTTAATTGCTTGGGTGTGATATTCAATATGCTGTGGACTTTAGCACAATGGGTGTATGTATGCTAAGACTTTGCCCCCCTTTGTTTGATTATCATATGTTTAATCAATGGAGTAAACATGGAATGGAATTGAAAAGCACCATTCACGTATTACAAGTAGATAACAAGCCGAAGCGAAACTTGGGCAGCATTTCATGTCATTTTGAGTATACACACCATACCTTCACAACCTTTAGTGCTATAAATAATCCGGCAATAATGAGATAAAGCGTAAGTATTACATTTTATGTTGTACTCTTTTATTACGGGCTGTAATTCTTGCATATTGGAATACTGGCCTGGTATGTCCATATTTGGTCATGCAAGGAATTTCAATTTCTTTCGGATGAACATAACCGTTTTCAGATCACAAAATATGTTATTGTGATATATTCAAGTACCGGTATGTATATTTTATCACATCGACATGCTCATTTGGTGAATTAAATTGGGTCACCTGTTTTGTTATGCTGCACAGTTCATTTTTTTACATGACAGCTCAAAGATCTCTAGTTCTGTTTCCTTTTTGATGTTGATCACTAGTTTTCACACAAACAAATGTATGTACCTAAATCTATTGGATTTCAGGGTAGGCCTACTACATGTATGGTTGTTTAATTGTTGGCCTAGCAGAAAAAAGTATGTTCATTGCCCCCAAATTAGTGAAAATTCGTATTTAAGGTGGTTTGTCTTGTTTCAGTTTCATTCCAGTATAAAAGGAAGTAGGCCTACCTAGCCTGTAATTGTCATTGCAACGTCAGCACAGAAAGACCAATGGAAGCATAATGATAGTGTTTGAATCAATTTTCTAGTGTTTCCTTCTCCATCTAGGTTAAAGATGCTAGTGCTTAGCCTTATTAATTGCCATTGCAACAGTGGCACCCATGAAGCAATAGAGCATGGATGACAATGTCCAAAAGTAATTCATGTTGGTCTTTAAGACAATCCTAATGATTTTTTGTTGCTTTTTCCTCTTTTTATTTTAGGATGAAAGATAGAGCTTAGCCCGTGTAACAGTCGTCATGGCAACCTCGGCACCCATGGAGCAATGGAGTATCCGAGAGAAGCTATGCCTGGCTTCCTCTGTGATGCGCAGCGGGGATCAGAACTGGGTCTCTGTGAGCAGAGCTATCAAACCCTTCATTGAACCAAACAGACCCTTAGATTGGTTCTCACAAAAGGTATTTATAAGTAGTGCTGTAGTCAAACGTTTAACCGTCCGGTATCCGACCGCCCATGGCGGATTCCGTTTTCAATTGGACGGTTTCGGCGCCTTCAGTTAAATCACCTCGCAGTCCTTCCCGCTTTTTCACACGGCCAAAAAAAAAAAACGATTTTGACTGGCGGTTAAACGGAATTGGAGATATCCGTGATGTTACAGCACTATTTATAAGAGACTTCATTGATTCATTAACGGCATATACACCAAGAATGATAATAATGATACTGCAATAATTATTGTTATTGTTTAGTAGTACATGTAGTAGTAATAGGAGTAGTAGTAGAATTAGCAGTAGTAGTAGTAGTAGTAGGAGTAGTAGTAGTAGTAGTAGTAGTAGTAGTAGTAGAAGTAGTAGTAGTAGTAGTAGTAGTAGTAGTAGAAGTAGTAGTAGTAGTAGTAGTAGTAGTAGTAGTAGCAGTTACTGTAGCAGTAGCAGTAACAGTAGCAATAACAGTAGCAATAGTAGTATTTTTTTCCACTGATTAGTATGATGGGTTAATATAACATTCAAATACAATAATATAAAATGCAACATATATAAAAAATGTAATGAGATGAGAACAAATAGAACAACAACAGTAACACTAAAACATAATTAGTGGGTAGTGAAGGGATGTGAGGGACCAGAAAAGGCCATTGACCTATCTAGGCTGGTCCCCTCCAGTTTTTAGCATAGTGATGTTGTTATTACGGCACCCTAGCATTTCAAGGAACTAATGCCTACTTGGTTGGTACAGGTACCTATTTACTTCACCTTGGTGGAGAATGGCAATTGTAGATGAATGTCTTGGTAAAGGACATTAAAACCCCGACAAGAATTTGACCCCACAAATAAAGTGACGTAAACCAGATGTAACCAAAGACGAACCATTAGATAATAAGTATCACTGAAAGGCGACTTGGAAATGTTCAAAAAGCTTAAAATTTTGTTATTTTGGAAGAAAATGTGTTTTCTCTTATTCATAAAAATCCTTCGTATCATTTACCCCTTACAGAATTGTGCTATACAGTATTCAGCAATGCTCGAGGCAGTGGACACGCCCAAGTAAGTAATTGGCTTCAAACCTTTTATTCAATTCTTTATTAAAATGAAGCTATCGTGCCATTTGATTGCAATATGTATTGTTTTAAAGGTCAGGATGACGGGACACCCTCCCTGTCAATTTCACCATGTTATATGTTGTCATAAATACTGTTTACAGGAAGTGCTGTCATAGGTTTGTGGCATCATCAAGCAATTTGAAAACTTTGATAGCATATTTACAAATTTTTATAATGTTGTACATGCCCAGTGCAGAAATTTACTCCAGTATTGTGCATGATATAGGATTGCCTTATTAAAATATAAATAAAAGATTACCACTATGTCCATAAGGATCATCCATTGTGATGTTTAGGCATAATAATGCAACATGATTTCAAGATACACTCCCAAGATTCATCTCTTCATGGCTGAGATCTGAGGGGAAAGGCAGAATGATTTGCTTATTTGCTGAAAATTGCCTGGACTTTCTGATGAATGCATGTTGCTCCCCCTCTCTCTATCTCTCTCTCTGTCTCTCTCTCTCTCTCTCTGTTTCTGTCTCTCCCTGTCTGTCTCTCTCTCTGTGTCTGTCTGTCTCTCTCTCTCTCTCTCTCTCTCTCTCTCTCTCTCTCTGTCTCTCTCTCTTTCTCTAACTCTGTTCCTTTTTTCTCCATGTATTTGTTTATTTATTTATTTGTTTTATTTAAACAGGGTAAATATCAGTATCAATACTGTTTTTCTGAGAGGCCCTGTACACAATAAAAGAGTACAAATACATGAAATAACAAACAATGTTAAAAGACGTATACATGATTTTATATATATCAGGGTTATTTGTTTGTATGTTTATGGTTGTTATATAACCCAATAATATACAACAAAACATATGACAAAGCAATATTTGTCCAGCTGATACAATATGAATTAATGCTTATCCTATCAAATAGATCAATAATAATAGAAACATATAAACCTTCCTTGTCACCATACAGGAGGAAGAGGAGTGGGGAGAAGGGAGAGGTGGAGACACCCGTTGAGCTCCTGGTCCGTCGTATGACCCAGGAGCGGATCGAGGACCTGAGGCATCAGATCTCAGATGACCGCAGGAAGTTCAAGCAGCTCCAGGAAGAGATTCATAACATACAGGGCGGTCAGCTGGATGACCAGCTGCCCAAGATATGGGCAGAAATACAAGAGTGAGTTGAAATGTGGTCTCAAGACTCACACATGCCGCAGTAAACGACCTCAAACACAGTAGCAGCAAATTAAAGGGATCCTGTAACTTTGTCTTAGATCCTTTAACAAAATCCTTGATTTAGCTCATGCTGCAATGATAATTATTAACCTTTAGGTCAGTCAGGAACCCCATGACTTTTACAA